GAGCATCCTCAAGGCTGCTCCCTTGTCCCCCTTCTCAGCTTTCCCATTCCAGCACCAAGCAAACCAAGGTCTCCATCCTACAGCAAAAAAAAGACCTTCACCACTAAGTGTATTTGCCCTTTGCTACCTTTAATAGGAAACAGTCTCCTCCAGGGATTGATGCACGCAGCAGAACACATCTGCTCCAGCTATGGAAAATGCCCTCCAGCAAGCCGGGTCAGGAGGCTGCCACCTCCAAGGGCTGCTGTTAACACAGACTGGTTAAAGACAGCCAAGGGCCACGGCACCTGACCCAGCACAGCAACTCCAGCAGCAGACAAGCTGCTTCGTCAGCCATCCCTGGGAGATTTGGGTTAGGAGAGAACCGATACACGCACACCACAAAGCAGTATCTGGCTGGCCTGCAAGCCCAGACAAGCTGACACTCCCTAGATAACCCCGTCATCCCCTCCTAAGCCACCCCCAGCCCATCCACGTAACCAGCCCTGCGTGTTTATGATCTGTCAGACACATGACTGTCACCTGCCAAGCCCTGCAGGGAGCTGCTTCCCTCCTCTCCCTCTGCTCTGCATCACCAGCCCCACCGGCACCCATCACCGTTGATGGGAAGGAGGATACGGCTTGGCTCGACCCTATCGCGGATGCAGGGGTTTATGCATTCCTGATTGGAAATCTCCAATATGAGAACGAAATACAATCATTAAAAGCTGCTTTTAAGTTTCCTAAAAGATATAACAGTGACCATCAAGGCACAGTACAAACACCCTGCAACAAAAGACACCTGATGCCCAACAGGCAGCTTCCAATGAGAAGCTCCAAGCACCAGACAGGTTCATCAGATACAAGCACTTAGGCTGATGGCAGTGCCAAACCACAGCTCAGCTTAGCAGCCTCTGATGGGAAATCACTTGTTTTGGGCACTCTGGAGGTTTCCTCCTTTCCAAAAGGAGGTTTTTTGCCTTGGTGCTGATGGTGCGAGGGGAAGAAGGGTGGATGCTGTACAAACAACTTCTGGTGAGTTTTGTCTCCTCCTCATCCTGCCTCTTCTACTCACATTGTGTTTTTAACAGAAATTTAGCTTTAAATAGATATAAAAAAAATAAGCATTTTGGTTGAAATTATGAAATCAAGGTTCAGAACATGGGAGAGACCTAACTCAGCAAGGACCCTCCTAGAGCACAGTGCAAGCAGAAGGGCGGAAGCTTCAGCATCCCAGTGGGTACCAGACCCTCCCCAGCCCCTCCTACACACAGCTGCCAGCTCCCAGAGGAGGAGGCAGCAGCCAGGCCACTGTCACCTTCACACTCCCCCTTCCCAGCAGTGGAACCATTGCTCCCAGGGCCAGGAGGGAGCCAAGGGCTGGGCAGACATCCCGCTGCACCACACCCCGGAGCTCCAAACAACTCCCCAGGGTCACAACACATTTCAGAGACACCAAACTCCGGCACTGGGTGTCTTTCACAACAAGATCCAGTCTCTGTTTACACAATTTGGCTTAATTTGCCCCCCAAAAAAAGGTTGTTGGACTAACTGCAGTAGTTCCTGGAAGCAATGTCCTGACCTCCAGCTGAGAGCGATGCTGGACCATCATCCCCCCTGACCCTATGGCCTTCAAGCGATTCCTCATTTCTTCCTACATTAGATCCAGCAGCACACAAGAACAATCACAGCACGTGGAAAAACTCCTATCTTGAAAGGGATGTGCTCTTCCAAAGTGCTGCCCATCTCCTCTTGCACCAGGTCAATAGAGCAGACAGTGCACAAAGGAGCCCTGTGATATGAAACCACGTGGATTAAGCCATGTGGACTACACAGCACAGGATTAGTGTGGAAAGGATGCTGAAGGAGATCCACCTCACCTTCACCCCAACGCAGGTCCAGAACCTCCCCCAGCATGAGGCAGTGAGTCCCTCCGTCCCCTACCCACTGGGACCACAAGACCCCCAAATCCTGCCCTTCCCCTTGGCCACACCATAACCCACTGCATCCCACATGGGCAGCAGCTCTGCTCCAGCCTTTGATAGAAAGAGAAGTGGCTGAAAGAGAAAGGTGCAAACAAAGGCCAGTTGGGGCCACAAAACACTACTATGATATCAGAGATAGCAGCAGTAATTATGGTATTCCTTGGGGTGATGAACGTTTAGGCTCACAACGCTGCCATGGAATCAGTGCAGCATCATCCCCATGCAGATAAGGCAGACGAGATATCTCCCAGGCTGAAAAAAAGAACATAAACTTCCCATTTCCACCATGAAAAATCCTCTTTGCTCTTTCCCCCACCTAAAACCCCTGGCTACCACTCAACCTGCACTACAGGGCTCTGTCAGCACTGCGTCAGGCAGTGAGTACATTCAGCCCTGTGCGTACCCACAAGGAGTCCTGAGTCACACCAGTAAAACCCCAAACTTTTTGTTGCTGGAGTAAAATCACCTCCTCAGCCAACACAAGTTCCTCTCTCAGCAGCCTCCCCAGCAAAGAGCCTGCCCAGGCAGTGCCTTATTGACACCAAGGAAAACCATCTTCCATCCAATAAACCCACAGAGCCCCACGTCCTCAGTGGTGGCTGCTTCGATCACGCATCACCAGGACCAGAAACCCGCATCCATTCCCAGGCTCCCAGAGGGAAGCTCTGCAGAGCAAAGATGAGTTTCCTCCTGTAAAGAAACAACTGGGGCAAAGCAAACTCAGCCTGCAGTCCAGAGCTAGGGAATAACAGCAGCAGCCTTCAGGAAGATGCATTATCCACTGAGGAAAAGGCAGCAGAGCATCCCTCCAGGGAGGGAAACGGATGGCTGAAGCACAGCTAAATATATATCACATCCAATGTGATGTTTTCCAGGTGCCCACTGTTACACTAGCAGAAGGCAGGATGAGGACCACAGGTACAAAGCACTGTGCTCTCTCTATGACTCTTACAGAAGTTGGATACAAGCTCTGTGATGCTTCAACTAGAATGAAAACCTGGCTCCTGCCCCTGCCCACAAACACCCAAAGGACATCACCCTGGTGACAGGAGCCTGATGCCAAAGCCCTGCCTCTGCAGGTCATGTCCCCATGTGGGTTTTCAGCAGCACTGACTCTTTTTGGAGGGATGGCAGTAGGAAAGCTGTGAATGGCACACAGGACAGCAGGATTCACACACTGAATGGTGCAATGGTGTGTTCTGATGGAGGGCACAGCCAGGTTACAAGAGAGATGTGTCCCCACCACTTATTCACCTACCCAGAATAGATGCACCACCAGAGCAAGCACCAGTTCATCCACAGACTCCAGCAGTTCTCGCCATTGATCCTTCCAAGCCCCAGTGTCGAAGGAGAGCTGCCTCCCTGGAAACACAGGATCCAACCGGATCCTTCCTCCTGCCCCAACAGCACTCATCTTCCCACAGGATCCCTGCCCTAAAGAGGACTTGCTTTTGAATCCCTCAGGCACCAGCACTGGGTGAGCCCAGGAGAGGCCAAGCAGCTTTCTCCCTCCAGACCCCCTCCATGCATCCTCCCTCCTGCAGCCACTTTCCCCAGCAAAATCCCTGGATTTGGGAGCATGTTCCTGCCTCTCCCTCCAGAACAGCTTCCCAGCCATCAGGAGCCACAGCCAACAGCCACGGTGATGGGCACACAGGCAGAAAACATGCCTCAAGCCCCTGGCGAAAGGCAGCAGCTTGGATTGGAGTCCGACACCCTCCACCATGATTCTCCATGCACCCAAAGGCTGTGAACTTCCCAAGGCTTCATCCCCTTCTCCTTTAACCTCTCAGACACAACAAAGCCTCCCTTTCCAGCATCCATTTCACCAGAAAATGGTACATACTTCATTGGAAAATCATGGCCAAGGCCCAGCCACCGTTGCAATCTACAACCAGAGGCTGTGTCCCTTGCAAAGCTCTGCAAGGAGGACACAGAGGCGGCCCTGGAGCTCTGCACACAATTCCTTCCCTCAGCACCACCCATTCCACAGAGCACAGCTCAAGGGAGCTTTGGTGACCTGAGACAAGGAGGAGCTTTTGCATATCTTGGTATGCATCAGCCCCAGCGAGATAACACAGAAACCAATGGCTTTCCCACTGCCTGGCCCTGTGAGACAATGTGGATCAGGCAGATACAAGCAATGGGAAGAGGAAGAAAGCTGAGATCTTTCCTAAGCTTCCTATAATCCCCAGAAGGTGTTTATCTCCCAAACTATGTTTAGCACAGAGCAAAGCTCTCGCCCAGCACCATTCCTATCGCGCGTGTCACGGCCAGCCACGCGTATCCCAAAGAACTCCCGAGGCAGGAGACAGCCCCGTGACTAAGCCAGAATGACGACAAGGGAGTCTTGGTATGCATCTAGCATGGAAACGGCCAACCCAAGAGCTACCACGCAGCGGCCTCCACTTACAATCCTGATGCATTCAAGCGGGAGAAGGGAAAGCAACCAAGCCAAAGGAAACGCGAGGCCGCTCGCTGCATTTCCCTAAGGAAAATTAGGGAAATTGAGCTTAAATTCACGCTGCCCAAAGGCAGAAGGAGCTGCTCTGGGTGCTTCCAGCAGTGTCCTAAGTCCCAGAAGTGGATACACGCACTCAGATGTGCAGGCATCGCTATGCAGCAGCGACAAATCCACCTGGAGCGCTGGCACTGCTGAAGCAAGAGAAGTTTGAAGAGGCAGATGCGTTACACACGCTCAGGATCACTCCCCATTGCGGATGCTGCTCCAGTGAAGGCAAAGGAGCTCGGGTCAGATGAGGACCAGCTCCAACGGAAACCAGGCGCACTCAGCACACCTCCAGCAAAGGATATTAGGAGTAATTGTATGAATGAACCAGTTCACCACAACCAACAGCCCCGTGCAACCAGAAACCCGCAGACACAGAAAAGTTCCAAACTTCCTCCAAGGAAAGCCCCACGGGTGCTCCACAAGCATCGCCTTTTGCCATCAGCCAGCCCGCTTCCCCAAAATCCCCCCTGGATCCATGTCCATCCTCATCTCCCACAGGGCATGAATCCCTCAGCCAAGCTCACCTCTTCCCTCCATCCACACATCCACCGGGCGGGCACTGGAAGCTCGCTGTACCTAGGAGCGGAGCGAGAGGTCTGGGATGGGGTATCCCGGTGAGAGCCTTTTTAAAGAAGCAGGGTTGCTGCCGTTCAAGGCGGGCTGGAGGCATGTGCTCCGACCCGTGAGTCAGCAGCTCCGCTCGGCAGCACGGTAAATCGCTGCTGATTCACCGCCTGCTTACACAGCAAACAGGAAACTCGGGTCCACATTCCCTCCGGTTAACACACGGATCATTTAAAACAGCAAGGGGGGGGGAAGAAAAAGTCACGCCGGGGTGCGTTCATCTGCTCACATGGCGCCTGACTTCAAGTTTCCAGTGTATCACTCCAGAACGAGGAAAAAACCCTCTAATTCTATTCCGATGATAAGAAAGCGGCAACCGCACTCCGTGCGCTCCCTCCTCTGTCCGGTCCGCGCTCCCAACACTGATGCAAACGGCCCCACGGAGCACTAAGGTACCGACAAAACCCTTTCTTTCCCCACGTTCCTCAATCCCGGTACACCGGTAGGGTCGTCCCGGTCGGCGCTCACCGTGGGACGGGCACCGGGCCACCTTAGTCACGGCGATGCTCTATAAATAACACCCGTGACACACGGTCACGTTCTCCGGCCGCGGTGGGAAACTCCATCACGGCATCCCCAGCACATGCAGGCTGCGGGGCCCTGCCACCGAAACGATGCTCCGGGGCACAAGGACCGGGATCCTTATCCCATCCGTGCCGCTTCACCGGGCTACGACGAAGGCGCTGCTCAGCCTCCCATGACCCCGACGACACTCGCGGGCTCTCGGAACGGGAAAGGCTCCGGCAGCGGTGGATGCAACTCGCGTCCTCCATAGGAGCTTCAACCCGCCTCGTTCCCCGCCCGCTCTGCACCTCTGCCCCCGCCGCAGCGGCCCTCAGGCAAGAGGGATGCACGCAGTGTCCGCACAGAGGAAGCCGCGGCCGTCGGGTTGGGCAACAGCCGCGGCCCCGCAGGTTACGCCAGACCCGGTTCAACACCGCTGTAACCCCGCTCCCCCCGCAGAACACTGGTCCACAGAGCCCCGCGGAGCAACCACCGCCAACCCCCGGCCCCGGTTCCTACCTCTGGGCAGCGACATGACGGAGGCGCCGAGGCCCCGGGCCCAGCGCGCACCCGGTGAGTGCGGCCCAGCGCGGCGGCCGCCGGAGAACAGCGTCGGGGCGGGGCGACGCCACGGCCTGTAGGCTCCGCCCCCGAGCGTTGGGATTGGTCCGCGGTGGGGAAGGAGGCGTGGTTACCCGGCCTCTGCGGGGAGAGCTTTGCGGTTCTCAGACGTAGCTGTGAGGGTGAAGCGAGTCGGGCGGGCGGGAGAGCGGTGCTGCTGTGTTCCCCCAGACCCAGCAGGGAAGAGGCGGAGTTTGGGGGGCTGCCCTATCGGCAGCACGTTCCAAGGGACGCCTGTGTTGGCACAGGGATACAGAGAGTGATGGGGGTGATGCTGTGCGGCTGAGACTGGCCAAGCTCATCACATCTTCCATGGGGCTGGGGGACAAACTGATGGGGCTTTATTCCTCTACGAGTCAGCCCAGCAGTGTGCCATGGCACAGGATGCTCCCCAAACACCCGAGCTGGCGGACAGAACATGAGTGGTGCACTTAAGGAAGGAAAAATGAGATTACAAGTGCCATTTTCTGGCTGAAATTCCAAGCGTGAACCATTCAGACACAAAGGAGGGGTGGGAACTGCAGACAGCCCTGGGGAAATCACAGCAGGTCTGTCACAGCCGTTCCCAGCTTCATGTTTTGCAGCGCTCTGGATCAGTTCCAGCGCTGGAAAAGCTGCCTTAAAACCGGAGAACACAAGAGAATCATGGCAGGAGCTGGGTGAAATGGGATCTGCACCTCTGTGGACGTAGGTGCCTCAAATGGACCTGTAATCCAGCAGAAGATCTGTCAGCTTCAAACTGAACCTCAGAAAGGTCAAATGGGAAGTAAATGACAGGGTTTAATAGGGAGAGCAATTACCTCCCTGAGACAGAGCAGATTCACCCCCTTTCAACACAGGTGAGGAGTCTTTCTCAAAAACCCCACTCCAGTTCAACCACAGCGTAATTACCCCTGATGCAAGAGCTGCAGACGTTGCTGCCTGGGCTGGGCCAGCAGGAGATGGGAGCAGACTGGGCCTTGCTGGTATTGAGCTGTATAAATCAAAGCCAACAATGAGGGCTGAGCTCCAAGCGAGCTGATCCGAATGGGGTTTGGCAGTGTTAGGGTGGGAGGTTTAGGGAGCACACAGCATCTTTGCTGGAGGTGGACCTGCAAGGAGTGGTGGGACCGGCTTGGACACAGATGCTGGTGGCACCTGGGAGTGCAGGACATGACCCTGCTGTCTGCACTGCATACTACAGCATCCCTTCACCTGCACCCCCAGGCAGAGCTGGAGATGGCTGCTGGCCCCAGCTGCAATTACAGGGTGGATGAAACACTCACCTGGTGTTTATTGACCCACCTTGAATCACCAGGCACTTCCCAAGTGGGGCTTTGTCATCTATTCTGAGGCCTTCCAGCACTGCAGGAGTCCAAATGCAGAATGAGGTGCGCTCAGCATCAAAGTCCAGCAGGGTGGGATGGAGCACATGGACCCCCACAGGCTGCGAGGAAGGGACCAGAGGCAGCATAGGGTCACCTCCATGTCCATTGTAGGGCATGGGGAGCACCTCTCTTCTTCTGCAACCTCCAGTACCTGCCAGTATGGACCCCATAGACTGTGCTGGAGAGATGCATCTGAAAGATGCTGCAACTGCTGGCTTGAGGAAGAGGGAATCACCACAGGCAAAGGCAGTGCAATGTGGAAATCACAGGGAAAGGTGCATGTGGAAATGCACCCACAAAAGGCATCCCAACACTGAGAACCAATCAGGAGCCCCTTGCCTTTGTCTGTGCAAAACCTGCTTCTCCTTTCCCCTCTCCTCAGCCTTCCCCGTGAAGTGACTTTGTCCTGAGCATCCCTGTGCACTGGAGGGCATCAGGATGCAGGATTCAGCCCCTCTGCCTGCCCCAGGCTCCCCCCTTGCAAACTCAAAGCTGTGCTTGGCCTGGCTGTTTGCAGCCTTCATTGCCTCCCCCTGCATTCCCTGCTCCGGGTGTTTTCCCATTTTTATCTTCCTGCACCACCATATGGTGTGGGAACACAGGCGGAGTGAAGGCAGGCAGGGATGGCATCTCAGCACTGATGCCTTCCAGCCTTTCATAGAGGAGGAAGGTGAGGAAGCCTCTCTCCAAACACTTCTGTGGGTGCTCAATGGGAGCAGGAGAGCGTGACCCAAAGGGACTCAGCACCCACTGATGGAGCAGCACAAATGGAGTGCCCTGATGAATTAATCAGCTGATGGGCTCCAACTCAGGGAGCAGGAGCCAAAGGGATGAGTAAACAAAGGCCAAGCTACACAGGGTGGTATTTAGGTGCAGAGTACCTGCTGGTGGACTATTACTGGTTCCAGGTTCATTCCAGGTGTTGCTGTTTACGCTGTTGCACAGGCAGGCGGTGGGCAGACACCTCAGCCAGGCTCAGCTCCCACCTCTGGAGCTTTCAGTTCACATTCATGGAGGTGTTGGTGCTGCAGGTGTTTGGAGACAAACACCTCTATTTCCTCCCCCAGTTTGCACATCTTGGCTATACTGGGGTTATCAAGATCCTGAGGTACATGGTGTGATGTGTGGAAGCACAGAATGGTTTGGGTTGAAGGGATAAAGCTCCTCCAGCTCCAAGCAGGGACCCCTTCCACTGGAGCAGCTTGCTCCAAGCCCCTGTGTCCAACCTGGCCTTGAGCACTGCCAGGGATGGGGCAGCCACAGCTTCTCTGGGCACCCTGTGCCAGCGCCTCAGCACCCTCACAGGGAAGAGCTTCCTTATCTCCAACCTAAATCCCCCTCTGAAGGTACTCAAGTGCTTCTGGTTTTGTGGGTGCACTCAGTGCAACTGCCCCACAAGCAGTCATTATGGCACCGGCACAGCACCAGTCCTGTGTGCTGGTTCAATACCAGTAGAGCAGGGCAGCAACAGCGCATCACCTGTACACTGGGGCAGGACCAGTGCACCAATCCAGAACAGCACAGCACCAATACACTGGGGCAGGAGCAGTGCACCAATGCAGAACAGCACAGCACCAATACATTGGTACAGGACCGGAGCATCAATCCGGAACAGCACAGCACCAATACATTGGTACAGGACCGGAGCACCAATCCAGAACAGCACAGCACCAATACATTGGTACAGGACCGGAGCATCAATCCGGAACAGCACAGCACCAATACATTGGTACAGGACCGGGGCACCAATGCAGAACAGCACAGCACTGGGGTAGGAGCAGTGCACCAATCCAGAACAGCACAACACCAATACACTGGGGCAGGACTGGAGCATCAATCCAGAACAGCACAGCACCAATACACTGGGGCACGGCCAGTGCACCAATCCAGAACAGCACAGCACCAATACACTGGGGCAGGACCGGAGCACCAATCCAGAAAAGCACAGCACCGGTACACTGGAACAGAATCGGTACACCAGTCCAGCAGCAGCACAGCACCAACACACTGGGGCAGGACCAGTGCACCAATCCAGAACGGCACAGCACCAATACACTGGGGCAGAACCAGTACACCAGTCCAGCAGCAGCACAGCACCAATACATTGGTACAGGACCAGGGCATCAATGCAGAACAGCACAGCACCAATACACTGGGACAGAACCAGTACACCAGTCCAGCAGCAGCACAGCACCACTACACCGGCGCAGAGAACCCAGTACAAGCACAGGGTCCCTATGGCAGATGTCACAGTGAGGCAATACCCGGTGCTGGGCCACAGTACAGCACCAACAACCCAGCACAGAGCCCTCAGTGGGGGCCAATGCCCTCCGGCGCCCATTCCCTTGCCCTCCCGCGGGGGGGCGCCGTGCCCCGCGGGTGCTGCCTTTGGGGGTGCGCTGTCCCTTTAAGAGCCGGACGCCTGTACCAAAACAAAACGGCGGCGCGGCCATTGGCTGGGCCGCGGGCACGTGGCGCACAGCTGGTTTCCTGCGGCCGCGCGCCGGTGCCAGCCCCGCGGCGGCCCGGGCGGCCTGGCCTTGCTTGACCCTGCTCCGGTGCCTGCGTTACCGGTACCGGGACCCGGTGTTCCTGTGCCGCGTTCGGCCTTAACACGGCCCAGCCTAACCCAGCTCAACCCAACCCAACCCGGCCCGGCCATGGCGCACTCGGCGCCGCTCGGCCTCCTGGAGCAGGGCTGCCCCATCCAGGTGGAGCACGATCGGAAGCGGCGGCAGTTCACCGTGCGGCTCAACGGTAAGGAGCGGGGGCGCGGGGCTCGATGAGGGGTTACCGACAGCGCTCTGACCCGGGTTATACCCCCCTGGGGGTCCTAATCCCCCCTTGTTCCCTCTGTTGGCTCCCCCTTTTCTCTATCCCCCGAACACTCGACCCTGCCACCCGCTGTCCGTCCCTCTGTGTCCCCCCCCGATGCTCCTCCGTGCCCCCCGGTTTGATGCTTCCCTGCATCCTTCCCTAAAGGCTCAACCCATGGGATCTGGGGGGGTCTCTTGGTTGGTGTGAGGAGCCCCACGCTGGCACGGGTCGGTTTTGGGGGCACCAGCTTGCCCCCATCAGGAACAAGGGGCTTTGGTCGGTGTTGGGGTTGTGCCTCAGTGTGTGTGTGAGCTGCTCGGTGGGATCCCTGTAGGGGGTTTAGGGGGCCCAACACTGTGGGTGCTTGGCACTTGGTTCATCAGCACCCACAGCATCTGTAGGACCAGGGCTGGGGACCCCTAATGATGGGGTGACCCCCCCCCAGCTCTGCCATGTGTAGGGTGGACTGAGCCAAAGCAGTAGGTACCACTTCAGTTTCTCTATGGCACACTGATTCTTTTCTAGCCATCCTCTTAATGGTTAATCCCAAATATTCCACGATCCCAAGCTCTTTTCCCAGCCCATCTGGATAAAGCAGGCTGCCTCGCTGCCCTGCAGAAATTGCAGGGTAGTTGTCTCCTAAAAAATAGCTGGGTAGTTCAGAATGACACTGGCTGTAGGAGCATTCCCAATGAAACAACAGGAATAGGCTGGGGTTTATTTTAGGCTCTTCCTCTCCCCCCCTCCATCCCATTTTCATTTCAACCACTAATTACAAAGTGCAGGCTGGAGGCTGAGCAGTGGAGGAGCGAGGAAGGAGGAGACGTGTGTGATGGGTGCGGGGAAAACAACCGCTCCGACTGCTTGTTTCAAACAGAAGGAGATCAAACAAGGTCCCCTGTTGCCATTACAGGAGCTGTGACACAGCGTCCTCGCCCTCGGTGAGGTTTGTGTGCGCACAAAGAGAGCGTTTCCTTAGGGAAGCGGGATCTCTTTATCGTGGTTTGCCATAGAAAACCTCAGCTGGCCACACTGTGGGTTGAGTGGGGATGGAGAAGGGGAACTTTGAGAGGGAATCCACAGTGGGAGTCGACACAAACAGCTCCACAAAGGGATGACTGCAGCTTGGGAAGCCTCAGTGTTGTCTGTGGATCCGCCAGATCAGGGTTGTTTCTCTGGGAGTTCAGTGCCGGCCACACAAGGAAGCTGAGCCGTGACGGTATTCCTGCTACCGGGCGGACAGTGATCCGTCCCTCCTCCTCGTTAGGCATGTGCTGATGACAGGCAAGCCCTGGAAGGTGCCCAGGCGATAACCATCTCTGTGGGAGTGCCTTGGCAGGGTGTTTATTTCCTGTGCTGCTCGCTGGCACGATGAGCATCAGTGGTGCTCAATGTTCCAGCTGGTTTTCCATGCTGCACTCAAGGGAATGACAAGAAACGGGTCAGGTTTTAGGGTCAAGGTGCCCTGTGTGTCCCCCTGAAAGGGAGCATGGCAGGGATGAACAGCAGTCCCTGGTGTGAGCTCGTAGTTCGCTGTGGGCTCCAGGATCAGCTTGTGTCTGCAGTCTTGGTCCTAATCTTAGGTAGATGCTGAGTGTGGGTGATGCTCTGGTGCATGAGGCTCATGGAGCAAGGAGCCAGGCTTTGCTGGTCTCTGTTCTGAGGGGTTGGTGGCTTACGGTACTGTGATGTTGGGTAGTGTATAGTATGTATTATAGTACATAGTGTATAGTATATATTGTAGTATATAGTGTTAGTATCTATAATACATCATATATAGTATATATAATATTAGTATATACAATGTAGTATATATAATACAGTATATGTTAGAATATCACCACTTTCCGTGGTGATCTACTGGAAATCCCTGTACAGGAGGCCTGAGACACTGTGAAAGCTGTGAAGTGGTTGTGAAAGTGCTGGTGTTCAGCATCATCCTGTGTTTGCCTCTGCACCCCTGGGTAACCTCATGTGTCAACTTCCTCCTCGGACACATGAAAGATGAATTGCATTTGGTGTTTTCTGCATGGCCCTGGCTTTCCCTTCTCTGCTCTTGCTTCCCTTTCTCACCTCACTGCTGCTTATGGCTCCTAAAGCTCTGATAGAAGCAGCTGCTTCACTTTAACACATCCCCTTTCTCCTTGCATCCCAAATGCATGGGGAAGCTGGAAGTAAAGCTGATTACAACCAGACCTCACCGAGCTTGGTTATCCCTCTGAGGGGAGGGGAGGAAGAAGCCCAACTGGATTTGTAATCGCTTGAGATGTGACTAACAGCACGAGCGAGCCAGAAACCTCCCCGTGTTAGCGACTGTGTTGGAAAACATCAGTTTGACAAAGCTGAGAGCTTCCATGGGAATCGGACAGGCTGGTTTAGTCAGGAATAGTTGGGGATTTTTTGAGATCCAAGATAACATTTCTGGTCAAAACAAGAAACCCAAAGAGACCTCATCCTAAATGAGGCGCTCATTCCAGCTGCGGGCACAGCTGCCTTGGGACAGGGGACCGGCCTTGCTATCCATCAAACACATCAGGCTCTCTGGTGGGGAGGTGGGCTCACTGCATGCACCAAGCAGCTCCAGATCCAAAGGGATGCGTGGGCTCCTTGCACACCCTCACTCCCGCTCATCCAACACGTAGGTGCAGCAAACCACGCTTCCCAAACCTCCTGCTCCTCCCCAGCCGGGTTTGGGCAGGATCCAGGGGCTGGAAGCTCCTGCTTTGCCCGCTGCTGAGCTGAGTCTTCGGAGCTCATTGTTGGGAGTCCAGGCTTGTATTCGTAAGGAAAACTGGAGCAGGTCGTGCCTTGGTGCTTTCCTCACTCACCACTGGGGCAGATGCCCTTCAGGAGGGAGCAACTGCTGAGTTTGCAGTGGGGATGAAGGGATCCGGTCACTGCATCAAGACAGGCACCTCCTAAAGGGGGCCTTACAGGAAACCTGGAGAGGGGCTTGGGACAAGGGCCTGTAGGGACAGGCCAAGGGGAATGGCTTGAACCTGCCAGAGGGGAGACTGAGCTGAGCTCTTAGGCAGAAGCTCTTCCCTGTGAGGGTGCTGAGGCGCTGGCACAGGGTGCCCAGAGAAGCTGTGGCTGCCCCATCCCTGGCAGTGCTCAAGGCCAGGTTGGAGCAAGCTACTCCAGTGGAAGGTGCCCCTGCCCATGGCAGGGGTTGGAACTGGGTGAGCTTTAAGGTCCCTTCCAACCCACTCTGTTTCTGTGCCATCCCCACTCCTCCCGTGTGCTGCAGTCACCTCAAGAAAGCTCCTAACCAGGAAACTGCTTCAAACCAGGATCCCCCCTGGTGCTGCTCCTGCAAGTGAGGCCCCTCCATGGGCTGCACCATCTCCACTGGGCTCTGTCTGTTGTACTCTGTTGTGTTTCCTCTCCCTAGTAACGTGCCCCTGGCTCCCTGGGGATCAAGGCCAGCCGGCAGCGTGCAGCGAGCTCCAGCCTGGGATGCGCGAGCTCCCTGGGACATCTTGTCCTCTTGGATAGCCTCACGTGCAGCTTTCAGCATCCTCCTTTGGGCTCTGCAGCCAGAGGAGCTGAGCTGCTGCCTGCCTATGGGTTTTCTTAGGTCTGAGAGTGGGAAACGGGGCTGGTGTCTGTTCCCTTCTCCCCATTGCTATCCAGAAATGGCTTTGCAGCAGTGCTTTAAAGAGGTTGGAGCCCAGGAGCTGCCTCCAAAGACTGGCAACTGCTCAACCCTGAGCTCACAATGGTGTATTTGGGGCTGGGGCCAACATAGAGGGACAGGGAGAAGACAGTGGGAGAGGGATCAGTGAAGGATGTGCTGGAGTGGGATGTCTGTGTCTTTCTGGATGATGCCGTGCCCAGCTGGGGCTGGGCTCGCTGCTTGTTCCCCTGAGGCTCCTGAGCCACCCAGCCTGGGGCTGGTGTCTGTCAGTGCTGCCCAAACCCAGCCACCCTATTTGGGTGGAAGTTCCATCCCATTTATCCCAATGGAGAGCAAGTTGTCCCTTGCCCCCTTTAAAGAAAGCTTCCCCTTCCCCATGCACCCTGTGATTGAAGGAGGGCAGGCTGGGGACCAGCCCTGCTGCCCATTCCATCTCTTGCTCCTCTTTCTTACTGTGCTGATTTGCATTGACTCAGACTTCCTTGCTCAGGGTGGCTTGAAGCTGAGGCGCTGTGCAGGGGAGTGTCTGTGAGTCCAACATCTCACACCATGCAATGAGGCTCAAGGATTAAGACCCGAATCTGTTTTGCCAGGCTCTATCTGCCCAGGCTGATAAAACCCTGCTCCGAGGTCTATGGGATAAGACAGGCAGCTGGGAGGCTGGCTCATGGCATCTCAGTTATGCCGTGTTTTGGTGTGGTTTCTGTGTGCCCCCTCTTTGGGATTGCAATAAGCTGGGGTTGGGCTGCTCCTGCTTCCAGCTCCCCCACCTTCACTGGGAATAGTCCCCATGTCCAAGGTACCACATAGCAGCAAGGCTTCTTCCAGCATTGTATTGCAGCAGCGTGCTTCTGCTCCTTCCTCTCTTCCCTCCAGCCCCAGGGAAGTCTGTTAATGGGAAATCAAGGGTTATGATGCCTGGCTCATGGAGAGCTAGAACAGCCCAGATTTGGGGTACAGCCTGCTTCATCCTGCTTCTCCCAGGGGCTCTGGGTCCCAGTGGGGATGGTGCAGAGAACATGTGCAGAGCAGCTGCTCTTGAAGGAAATGGGCACCTTCAGCCTTGCTCAGCAGAGGAAGAGGGATCTCCATCTCCTTTTGGATCCTGGCTTGTTTCTCCTTTGTTATCGGGGCTTTTTCCCACCTCCAGACCTGTGTATCCAGCTGTGTCCAGCATTCAGGTTTGTTCCTGCCCAGGGGGTGTTTGCAGTGACCTTTGAGCATAACCACTCACCTCTGGCTGTCCTCCCCATCAGCTCCTCTTGCAGTTGTGGTTCTGCATCACCCACAGCAGGCAGCTGGAGATGAGGGACTGGGAGACTGCACAGCCAGCAGCAATCCCCTCCCAAGCTGTCAGTGTCACCTGCAGGCTCCTCACCAAACCCTATGTCCCAGGCATCCCTGATTCCATGTGCTGTGTGCCTCAGGGTCCCATCACCAAGGCGAGCACATCCAGATGTGTTTGTGTACTGAACTGGGGTGTTCTGCACTGGGACCAGTTTCCCACAGCATTGGCAGTGCTGGTTTGCTCTGTAGAGCCAGCTGTAAAAGCTTTTGGGCTCTGTGTGTGTTCACCTGTACACTGGGGGCATCCTGCTGGCTGGGGCTTTGTGATGCTTCTGTGGTCCAGCAGATACAAGGGAAGGTCTGTCCAGGGCAAATCCAAGGTCCTCCAAGCATGGCATCATCTTCAGCTTTAAATGCATTTGTGTGATCATTTTAAACAGATCATATATAAAGAAGTGTATGAAAAAGATGCTTTTTGCTCTCTCATCACACAGAGAATTTAGTTCCAAACTTATCAAAGCTTCAGGCCGAGCCTATGGAAACTTCTGCCCCAGGAGCAGCGCAGAGCAGGGTGGAAGGGCTGGAGCATGTGAAAGCCGCCCTTGTCAGAGCATTTTACAGCCTTCAGTGCTGCCAGCTCTGCCAAAACCACCTCTGAGAGGCTCCTCAGAGCTTTGCCTGTGCCCCGACCTGGGGCTGTCCCTCCAGTGGGACCGGTCTGTGCTGCTGGGGAAGAGCTGGGCTTGCAGTTGCTCCTTTGGCTCTTCTCGGGTGCCCTGGATCCATATGGAGAAGTGTTTTGTTCTCCCTTTATCCCCACAAAGATTTGCCGCTGTAAAATGGGGCTATAGGATCTCATCTGCATTGGGCTTAGTAACAGGGAAGAGGCAAGCACCCCTTCCCCACTCTGTTATCCCTGCTCATCCCACCCCAAAACCCTCTGTCCTAAGACAGTGGGGCATCTGGCATCTATAGGGAGACTAAAGGGGCTTGGCTTTATGGTGATGTAGAGGCTGAGAGAGGCAGGACTGGTGCCTGGAAATACCCAGGGGAATAGCAGGGAGGGGAATTATTTATGTCCACCCCAGAACAATGTTGGCACAAGGAAGAGCGGGTAGAAAGCAGCAGGAATAAACTCGGGCTGGAAATGCAAAGGTTTCCATGCAATGTAGGGGGATTGAATCGATGCCTAAAAGGAGCAGGAACAAAAAAACCCTGAGCTGCTTCTCTCAAACACGATTCCAATGGGCTCATTCCTGGTGCCTCACAAATAGAGGGATGGGGTGGATCCGTCAGCTGAAATGCAATTGAAATACAGAGCATTGAGCTCAGTGAAAGCATATAGTGAGTAAATGTAGGGGAAACTGGTGCCCTTCATCCTCCAGTGGTTATTGGAGGGAAAGGAAAGGTTTACATGATTCTAATTGAGCTTGTGTCTTAGACTGGAAACTTGCCTTTCTGAAAATGGCTTTTAAATGCAGCTGCCCTCTAGACCTCAAGGGTTTGCTTCTGCATTGAAGGCAAAGCTCAGGCTCTGCAGATGAAGCCAGAGGGTGTTTTTTAGCTCTCCTCTGGTTTACACATGTGCTGAAATGTCTTTTTTCCTGTAACTGAGCTGCTGTGAGGAAGGTCAGGGTGTTGCAACAGGAAGCCTCTGTATGCGTGTGCATGTAAATGTGTGTGCACAAACCCCCCTGCGTGCCTATGGGAGCTTTCCGGTGTGTTTATGGGATTCACCTCTCCCAAAAAGCGTGTGTCGGGATGCTGCGGGACCAGGCTGGGAAGTCTTGTTCTGTTTCATGCCCTGACACAAACACTGTGCTGTGGAAAGAAGGGAATCAGCTGTCCAAATGGCACCAAAAGCAATGTCCCACACAGCACCGCAGCCATTCCCATGGGCATAAGGGCTGTTGTATCAGTGCCAAAGCTGCTCATCCCCTGCTGTGGGCTCCATCCTGGTGGATGGGGAGCCCCGGGCCTCCCCAGGGACATCCCAAGCCTCATCCCTCTCTCTCACTCCACCAGGTTGCCACGACAAGGCAGTGCTGCTCTATGAATACGTGGGGAAGCGGATCGTGGACTTGCAGCACACGGAAGTCCCGGATGCCTATCGAGGGAGAGGAATAGCCAAGCACCTCGCCAAGGTACAGCCCCAGCCACACAAAAGGGCAGAAGCCATGGCTAGAAAGCCTGAAGTCCCATCCCATCCCATTGGAATTGAATGTGTGCCCCATGGGAACTGACTCTGATCCAATGGGAGATGGGGCGGCTGGCGGGGCAGATGGAAATCTGTGGTCAGGCATTCCTATTTCTGGTGGTGAGAGGGACTGGGTGGGTGCCAGCATGTCCAGCTGCTCAGCCAGGCTCTGCTTTTCCTCCTTGCAGCAAACAGCCCTCACACCCACTGTGATGCAGCCCCTCTCCTAGGGGCTGGATCCCTTCATCTCAAAGCTTCAAGGTCCCTGTAAGCCCCTTTCCTGCCTTGGAGGCCTGCAGCCATGCAGGGAGAGCTGAGGAGCTGCCAACACAGTGGTGGTGGGGACTATGGGGTGATGCTCTGGGGTTACAGCTACTCCCTGGCCCCACAAACCAGGCAAATGGGTGACAAAGGTGGCCTTCATAAGTGTGGCTGGGTCACCTGCAGTGCAGCATCCACCAGGCTGGATGCATTGAGGGTTACCCACGGGGTCCCTCTTGTTAAACGGAGGACCTAGTGGTACCACAGAGGCTGCGGCAGGGTAACTGTGCTCTGCCCCCATCCTCTCCCTCCATCTACCTCATACAGGGGATACATGAGGGCAACCTCCTGCTCCCCCAGTTGCATGTGGGGTGCAGGAGTCCAGATCCCTGTGAGCCTTCAGAGGAGAGCGTAGAGCTGAGGGTGCTGGTTGTGAACCTCATGTCCTCTCTGACTGCTTGCAGGCAGCCCTGGACTTCGTGGTGGAGGAGGACCTGAAAGCTCACCTGACGTGCTGGTACATTCAGAAGTACGTCAAGGAGAACCCCCTGCCGCAGTACCTGGAACACTTGCAGCCTTAAGGCAGGACTGCTCCGACACCAGCGCTGTCCCTGACTGTTCAACGCGGCCTTCGCTTCTCTGCCGTCTCAGGAAAACCCCTTCCCACACTCACAATTCCCTCTCTTTTGTTAAGTGCATCCATGTGGTGCATGAGTGTGGGCACAGCCTCCTCCTCTCTGCCCACGTGCGAGCGCGGCTGCTGGCTCCAGGCACACGCGGTGCCTCTCGGTGCTCTTCCCAAGCCAGGCGATGGAAGAGGATGATTCTTCCACCAAACTCCATCACAAGAGCAGGGGATGAGCTGATCTGCACCCCATCCTCTCCCCTTTGCCTGGTGACAGCTATGAACTTGCTGAGGGATGCTGGTTGGGGTGGTCGTGGGGGAGCTCCCCTTTCTTCCCAGCAGCTGGGGGAGATGCTATGGATGAAGCCTTGTGGGACAGAGGGAGGTGGCAGGTTCATCCCCTGCAGCATCTGTTGGACACTCAGCACTGCTCAAGCCCATGTGGAGTACAGATGAGAACGTGGTGGCACCTCGGGGGCTTTGCTGCACCGTTGTGGAGGCACTGGGATGGTGACACCTTCAAGTCTAGAGACAGGAGCCACGTAAGGAGTGGGTTTAATCTGCAGGGGCTGTGGCAGAGCATATGCAGTGTGAGTGTGCAGAGGAAGAAAGGCAGCAGATGCTGCTCCCTAGAGATGCCAGCTCCTGTCTAGCTTCCTATACATAGCCCCAGCATGGAATCTCCGCAGGGTCATGGCCATCGTTCCTGTCTCTGCTCCCTGCTGTCGGTGTTGACCATGCTGGTGTGGACAAAGCCTGCTCAGGAGAAGAGCACCAGTCTTGGCCTAAGCAATAAGGGGACACCCCATGCTTTTGCAGGCACCAGAGTGGTTTCCTGCCCCTGAAGAGGAAGGCTCCTCTCCATCTCCCTCAACTCCAGCTCTGCACCCACATCGTAAGGCCTGACCTGTCATTGTGTCCTGAGAGCAACAGGGGTAAGGCCTCTGGGACCTGCTCCTATCCCAGCTCCAGGACCCGATGCTGGAGCCGCCTGCCTCCACCTGGATGCTGATCACTTCTCCTTACAGCCCTTGGAAAGAAGCCCTGGCTCAGGGCCTTACCTGCCTGCTCACTGGCCCCCTCACAGCTCCAAGCCCAGGGTGCTCTCCAGCAGCAGGAACACCCTTGTGCTGTTACCTCCATAGGTGATGACCCTGTAGCACAGCTCAGCACTGCTGCAGTTGGATGCAGAGGTAACACTGTGATGGCACTGCCTGCTTGTGGCTTGCTGCCTCTGCTGCCTTGCCCAGGCTTTCCCGAGCTTGAGTTACACCCCAGAGCATCTCCCCTTGATCCCAGGGCTGGGCTGTGGTGGGGACACCAGCCCTCAGCAGCATGAAACAAGAAGCAGATAAAGAGCCTTTCACCTGGAGGACAAATCCAGCCCCAGCTTATCTCTCAGCAGGGACTAAAGTTTACACTCTGTGCCATGCACTGGATGAAGCCCAGGCCAGGAGGCAGCTCAGCCTTCTCTCAGTGCCCAGCACCAAGCCCATGGCAGCAAAGGCAAAAGCTCCTACACCCTGGTTGCGTTGGTCAGAGATGGAAACCCTGTGCCTGATCTCAACCCTGAGCTGTTCCTTCTGGCTCGAGGCTGCCTGCCTCTGCTTTTGGGCTGCCCACTATCAATATAACACAGCCTGTGTCCATCAGGCAGACCCATCTCCAGCTTGAGCTGCTCAGGAAAGGCATTGGGCTCAGCCTTGCCACTGCCTCACGTTTCTGCCCTCTTGCTGCTTATCTCAGCCAGGATGGGACTTTCAGGGTGGCTGAGAGGGACTGGGAAAGGGTTGCAGGTTATGAGTTAAAAGGGCTCAAGAAGAAATCTGGGCTGCTAAATATTCACTCTTTCATATGCAAAAACCACTTCAACATGTGGTTACAGGAGCAAGGCTGGCTCTGTCACAGCAAGCAATGACAGAGCCAGCCCTGCTCTTGATTTCAAGGTGAAGCTGAACCATCTCCTCTCTTGCAAGCCAAGACACTGTTGTATTGGTATCACAGCAGGGCTGGGTGCTTGGAAGAGATGTGTGCCTGGCTGCCTCATGGGAGCGATAGCGTGAGCCCAGTGCTGCAAGCCTCTGCCCTGGTTTTGTGCTCACTTCCACTGTGTGACAGTTCCATTGTATCAGCTGCATGAGAGCAGAGGGTGTGCTGTGGTTGCTGTAGTATCCCAGCTTGGCTCTGGAGCCCTTCATGCTGCTCTGACAGGAATCTCATGCTTCCCAGCGCTGGATCACAAGCGGCTGCCTTAAATCAGGCCCAGCACACGGTCTTGCTGCTTCCCTTCAAGGTGCTACAATCCCTTCAGTGTGTGATCTGATGGAGACGTGTGCCAGTGTCTGTGCCAACAGCTACACTGCTGTACCCATCCTCTGCCCTGGTCTCCCCTTCCCTGTGGTCTATGATGATAAATAGCAATACCCACAGGTCACCAGTGATGCTGCGGTCCATGGTGCTCCTGAGATCTGGCCTTGCCGGGTAGGAGATGGCTCGGGGTCTTGGTGTTGGGCACCCCTGCCCCTCCAGCTGGCCTCTGCAGGAAGGAGCTATGAGTCCTGTGCTGCCCCTTGGTGCTCACTAAGTCTGGAGGAGTTGGGGATCTTGGACTCTCTCTGGCAACAGGAGTGTGGAAGTGGTTTGGTTCCCCAGACCCATGTGAACTATAGACCTGGGTGGGTGGGGAGGTGCAGATTGCTGTCCAACGTGCTTCCACACCACCCAACTTGAAACACCCCTTCCCTCACCCACTTCCCAGCGTTGTCTTCCTTTGTCCAAGGTCTCCATTCTGTTGAATTCGGTGGTTACGATGTGCCTTTCCTTCTCAGGACCTGTTACAAACGACCTTTCTGCTTTTCTTTCTGTCTAACATTTATCTTCCTCCCTCCCCTCTGTCATACTATAAAACATGAACATAATGCATGGAATACAATACAATAAAAAGTGTGGTTTAACTGCCCTGCAGTGCTTCCCTGTGCTGCACCTGGGGGGAAGCAGAACCAGGGCACAGTGGGTGTCCCCAGCTCTGTCACTGTGGGCTGGGTCACTTGGACACAGAGCCTGTTCGACAGGTCCTGGCACACAACTCTGCTCTCCAGTCCGTGGCCAGGGTATGGTTTTTGCTGCATATGCATTTTCTGCATAAATAGTATTTTCCTCATCCCTCCAAAACCATGTATTCTAACAGATCTAACCCCAAATTTCTTGTCAGTAGGTGCCATGCATCTGTCAGGAGAAGGTGAGAGAAAAGGCACAGGTTGGCAGATCTGCACATTGATGCACTTACCATCTCCTTTCCTACTGCTTGCCCTTCTCCTCCAGGAAATGCTACTTCTCTCCCTCATGAGGAGGAGGATCTCATGCGAGGAGAACCCCATCCAAGAGGTGAGGATGATGGAGGTTCCATAAGACCCTTGCTAGGTTCAAGACAAAGGAGTCGTGGTCCCAGGGCTGGCGTTGGCCACAGCTCCCTGTGACTGCAGCCGGCCACTTGAGTCTTCATCACCTAACCTGGATGCTACCTGCATCAGCCCATCTCCCATCATGGAGCACCTTGGAGCCAGATCCTAGGTGATGTTCCTGCTGCAGATAAACAGGGAACCATGAGCTGAAGCAATAGGACTTTATTTCAGGTCATAGGGCTGGCTGCAATGAGTGCATAGAGCTTAGAGTGAGTGGGACCACAGCTGGTTCCTCTCCTTTACCCGCAGATCCAGCCCTGCTCCCACTCCTCAGTCCTGCTTTGAGATTTCAGGCCAGTCCTTGGGTGTTATCCTCTGCTGAGCAGCCACTCGATGCTTGTGTTCATTGGTTTAAGGTGTTTGAAAGCATTAAGGGATGAAAACACCAATAAGCAGCTGATGGAGTCATTCCCTTGTCGGGAGCAAGAGACACACACGGCGCTTCCCTGCTGGGCCTTGGGAGTGCAGTGAGCTCCCATCACAGCGTGTTTCTGTCACTTCCTAAAGCTACAGAGGCTGAGCCTGGAGTTCCAATGGCTAACAGCAGGGCTGGAGCGAGGAGAAAGGCCACAGCTGATTTACAGTCACGCTCTGATCCAACCTGCCAAGTGACAAGCGGCCCTTGGGCTGCAATGAGAGCAGGCAGGAGCATGGGGTTTGCTGCTCCCAAGGGACACTGTGGTAGGTTTGGGTTCTAGCAGCGAGCCGGGCTGTTGCTGGTAACACGCTCTGTTTGCATTCCACATTCCAGACGATCCGAAGCTCCAGCCTGTCCCAGCAATGCCAGGCTGGGCACGCTTCCCACATGTCTCTTCTTAGTGCAAATGGACCCTCTACCTCCACTGAAAAGAGCTGGACCCCGAGTTCTGGCTGACAAACAAGGGTGCTGGAGGGAATCCTTGGGATGGTGGGAGCAGCCATTCCCTTTGTTCTCTATGGTTACACGACATCGCTTGGGAATGATGTTGGTGAAAAGAGGCTTTTTCTAGGGATGGGAGATGCCGTTCCCTCCTGGTGGGTACTCAGGATAAAGGGAGGGCTGTGCTCTGATGGGTGCTGGGGACAGCGGGTAGCAAGGTTTATCTCCAACAGAGGGGAGGTTATGGCTCAGGGAGCTGTTCTTTGCTATGGAAAAATGAATTCCAGAGAACAAGGCTCCTTTTCTCCAGGGAGGAGCCATAGAGGGCCCTGGAGCAGCACAAAGGATACTGGAGATACAGCATCCAAGCAGCACTCGGGTGACCTGGCTGTGCTGGGAATGGCCTCACCGCCGGAGGCCGTTGGGGGAGCTTGGGACACCCCCAAACCCTTCAGCATCCAGTGTTGCTGGATGGATGGGAGCTGGGTAACCTGCATTGCGCTTTCGAGTGAGGCATTTGGCTACAAACTGTTATCGCCCCTCAGAGGTGCCGCAGGGGAGCCTACCCTGCCCTCTGTCAGGACGGGGCTAAATCCACCCCAGCAAAGCCCAGGCTCTTTCCCATCGCTGCTCGGAGGAGCTTCTCCATTCCCGCTCCGCCTGCGAGCACAGACCGGGTACCGCTTCCTTCCGAGCAGAACAAGGCCGCGCTCAGGCTCTGCAGAGCCGAGGAGCGGACCCGCTCCCTCACACCGCCATCACCCGGCCCGGGGCGCCTCACCCGCGGCGGAGGCCTCACCCCCCCCACTCCCTCCTGGCGGGGCCGCGGGGCAGGCCGGGACTCACCGCGGAGCTCCTCCCGCGGCCGGCCCGCTCCGGCTGGGGCGCGGCGGCGGAAGGGGCAGGGCGGAGGGCGACGGGGCCGCGCTGCCGCTACCACCGGGCAGCGCTGAGGAGAACCCCCCAGCGCTCCAGCCAGCTGAGGGGACTACAACTCCCAGGAGCCCCCGCGGCCGGGTGCTGGCGCGGGGCACTGTGGGAGTTGTAGTCCTCAGCGTGGCTCGTCCCCCGCGCTCTGAGTGGTTCCGGCGGGCTCAGCGCACTACATTTCCCGTCGGGCCTTGCGGCAGGCCCGGGGTCTCTTGGCGGCGACATTTGCGAGCCGAGTGTCTCCAAGATGGCGGCGTGGGGAAGGAGGCGCGCTGGCCCCGGCAGCACCAACAGCGGTGGCGGCCGGGAGAGGTGAGCCGCGGCTGGGGCGGAGGCTGCGGCGCTGCCGGGGCTCCTCGGACGGGCAGCGAGCGGGACGAGGCGGGCTGCAGCCACCCGGGGCTCCCCGCGACCCCGGGGCAAGGGCGGGGGCCTCGCTGAGGGGAGCGTGGCCAGGCAGGGTGCGTGTGGGGAGACGCGGCCCGGCTGCGTGTGGGGCTGAGGCGTTGAGCTCGCTGGGTCCAGCGCTCTCCCGCTGCGGGCAGGAGCGGGGAGAACCGGTGCCGGGAAGGGAAGGGAAGGTCAGCGCGGCCCGCGGGGTGGCGGTGGCAGCCCTTCCCGCCGGCGGGGATGCGGCGCTCGGGGCCGGGTGGAGGAGGGCCAGCCCCGGGGAGGCTCCTTCCGCGGCTATTTATAAAGGCCGTAAGGGCAGCGAGGAGTCCTCCAGGGTGACCTCCTGCCGCGGCGGTCCCGGCCGCTTGCGGGGTTCAGTGCGGAGCCGCCGAGACCCCCGAGCTGTGGGGACGGGCGCGGTTGCGGCCTGGGCGTTCGCCAGGGCTCGGTAACGCTGTGGCTTTGCCTCTGTCGGGATGGAGAGGAGCAGCTTGGGACGTGCGGGAGCTGTGGAAGTTTGGGAGTCGTTAGTTTTAAAACGGGGAAAGAAACAGAGGAAAATCTTGTCGAGCTGCTTTAAAAATCGGTGTGCACGGTTCTTTACCTACTTAAAACGTCTTGGTTAAAGCCTGCGTTTCCTTACGTTGGCGTTTTCCCTGTTTTGCCCCAGGGCTGACTGATGTAACAAGCGGCTGCCGTTTTTAGTGTGAGTTTTCCTTTGTCCTCCCGCTTTACCGAGACACTCTGATCTATCCCTTCATTTCAGCCTTGGCTTTTGCTTCCTTTTGTTCTCTTGCTATAACTCAACGCTGTTCTATTTGATGGTGTAGCCAAGGAGAGCCACAAGTAGCCCTGAAAACCCTGGCGCTGATGCGAGCTGCAGGAATGCCGGGTGCGTTCAGGGAATTCAAAAGTAATTGAACTGGAAGAGCCAACGGAATTACTGCATCAGCAGAGTTCATATGCAACGACTCGGGATGCCACAGGGCTCAGTGGCATCGTGGTGAAGCTGCCTGCCCCCAGTGCTGGCTGAAGCCCATGAGGTGTGGAGTTTCCATGTGGCTTTTCCTTGCGGTAGGCCTGTCCTCCCAATAGAAGTGAAGGGGGAAAATAGAATGGAAAAGAGCACTTAATAACTTCAATGAGAATCGATGCTGACTTAAGAGTGAGTTGTTACTTTGGAACTTCATCTGTGAAGCATACAGTAATCTAAGTGCAGTTTGAGGTGACTCTTTTAAGCTATGATTACTCTTGATCTTATGAGCAAAACCACTTAATCATAAACTTGTAGTAGTTTTCCTTTCCCAAGCAGTATATAGTGAAGTATGAGAAAGCACAGAAGTGACATGAAACAACACATGCCCTGTTGGCCCGTGTGTCACAATCCCCATCAAAAGATGATGGTTCTTGTCGGTGTCATCCTGCATGGACGTGATGGAAGATCATAGCTGTAATAGTTGCTGGGTGATACCAGCCTCGTGCTACTTCTTCCTTGCAGCTGCACAGGTGGGGATGCACATGCCTGGGCCTCTCCACCATCCTAAATCACACCTCCTGATCTCATCTGGCTGCTGGCACCTCGAGTCGTGCATCAGTGCTGGCAGGCCTGATGTCAGCCTTTGATGACATGTGGTTTTTATATGGTGAATGCAGTTCCCTCACTGGGCAGGGTTCTTGTCCATAGACACACGTTCCTTTGAACTGAATATGCTAATCCAGCTTTCCTCCTAAATGAGCTGCTTCAAGGAGGTTTTAGTTGTCAGCCAGTGAGTCTAAAAGGCATCTGTGTGTTGGGAGGTGCTGTGAGGAGACTCAGCAGTGAATAAAATCCTGTCTGCTGTTAGAGCAGCCCAGCCCTCGTTTAAAAATACCCCAGCCCAAACAGCGCAGCAGCTCTATCTGTGGAGACTGTATCCCTTCATAAAGGACTTTATTGAGAGAAAGAAGTCAGTGGTTGGTCCAAAAGTTCTTTCCTCAATAGGAGTCAATGTAAGGACGTGAATTTCAAAGGATGTTGCTGTGAACCCCAGCTGGTGCTGAAATAGCGCAGTGAAAATAACCCAAAACACTGAAGAGAACCGACTAAATATTTGTTTTTCTTCATTCTGGATAGACTCTTTAATGGAGCCTGACTAAAGGCAATTGTTCATCTCTAGACCAAAACAACCTTTTCTATACAGAACAGGCACTGAATTGTGTTTAGTGTTTTTTGTATGACATTCAGCACGATGCCTGCCAGGACAGAAGACAGAATGGCATTTGTTCCCCTGGGTGATGTGCTAACGAACTCCAGAAAGAGCAGCTTTAATGTCCTCCCTGCTGCTTGCATTGGCTTCTCTGTGCCCTTAAAGAGGGCTCTGCTGTTGCTACCTGCACTGCTCGGTTTTCTGGTACTCTGTTTGCTTACAGCAATGATTGACCTGTTTCCATTAGTCTGGCTAATCATTAATTGACTTAAAATTGACACCTCCTTTTTGTCTCATGGCTGGAGTGATTTGCTATGCTCTGGTGATGTTTTCCTTAGTGTTGTCTTCCCTTACTGAGGCTGCTTGAAGATCTCACCTGTTTCCCTCTTCTCTTTCTTTCCCCATTTGTGTTTAAGGCACATCTTTTGAGCACAAGTCTTGCTTTATTGCTGTGCTTTTCCTGTTCTTCCTCTGCTTTAATGCATGCATTGACAGCCTGTTGAGAACGGCCTCCTAGGCCTGACAGCCGTGGCTAATGGCCTGAGACTGGTAGATTATGTGGACACTGAGCAGAGAAACAATTCTTCATGTGTTTAAGCTTGGATGGGTCAGTGTTTTCTGTGCACCATATCCTGGAGCTCTCCTGAGGAGCCAAATACAGTTGAATATAAGGTGGAGTATTTCCACTGAGGATGAAAGCCAGACCACAGCTCATTCCTTATTCTTGGGATGAAGTTTCAAGAAGGATTTACATGGGAGATGGGGAGTTTAGTGTTTGAATTTGTCATGTCTTGACTTTATTGACTTACTCAAGCTTGGCAGAGAGGCTAAGAATGACCCCAGACACTTGCTTTGGCCATCTGTAACGTGCTTTTGCTGCAGTTCACTTGCACAGCAACATGAAGTCCCACTGCTGCATTGCTAGATGAGATTGTGTGTGTGCTGCTTGTGACAGTTGTTATCACACTGCTGCAAGCCTCTCCTTTCTTACTTTTCTGACTACTAATCATTTGTTGTTAATCTCAATGTGTGTTTGGTGCTCTCAGCAATACTGTTGGCCAGGAACAAAACTTGTCCTGCATATTATGGGAGGGGTTTAAGAAGAACTGCTTATGCCCAGAACCTGTGCTTTGTGCAGTGAGAGATTGCTTCTAATCATGCTTCTCAACACTTTGCAGAACTGAGATAGCTGGACAACAGGAAACCCTCACCAAAAGGCTGTCTGGTGGATTGAGGAACACCATTAGGCTGAGGGCAACAGCTCAGTCCTTCTCCCCTGCAAGTGGACAGTAGAAGGGTGAAGGATGTTGTCATCTACCCTGTTCTCAGCACTCTCTTCCTTTCTCTTTTTGCCACTTGGCACCTGGCAGAACACATTGAGCAGCACTGTGGCTCCTCCTTATAAAAGTATTTATTTCTTCATCCATAAAACTACCTAATTGAAACTTAGAATTAAAAGACAGGCTGCTGTTTGCAAGAGGCAGCTCAGGACACTGCTCCCAAGCTGAAGGCAGAGAAATGGAGCTGCTTTGAGGCCTGCAACTGGGAAACTGCTGGAGTGGCTCTTTGCAGGCAGCTGCAGCACCTCTCTCCTGTAGCTCTCGATATTCCCATGTTAGGAAGCTAATCCACACGTAATTTGAAGCTTGCCCTATAGCTGAGCAGACACTTCTGCCCCTCCTGCTGGTGGTAGCTCTGTTAACAACCCATCCCTTATAAATAACTTTGGCAATACCGAATTTGACAGCAGTGATTTTAAATGGTTTTCATCTTGCTTTGCAAGCCTAGAATGCAGGAAGCTGCAACAGGATAAACCATTTGGATATAAGGTCTGGAATTGTTCTTACAGAGAAGCTGTACAACTTCTTAACTTGGCCCTCTTTATTTGGGGTGGGGAGACAGGTCCTGGAAAATAATCTGAGTGAATAATTAACAACTGCTTTTAGGTTTTGTCTGTGTAGTAAACAGCACATTGGGTTTCTGCATTGGGTACAGCATTTTGTGGCTCCTGGAGCTAAGCCCTCTCTGTCACTGGTTATTTACTGTGTAAAATGGAGTTGATATAAAATCACCACACTTCACAATGGGGGGATGCCAGCCTGGAGTTCTTGCATAGCTCTGCGCTTTTGTTTCCCATCTCTGGGGGTGGGGGACAAGCTCCAAAAGGCAAAAGCCTCCAGCATTCCAGCAAATCCCATTGCTTTCACTGGGTTTGTTCATGTGCAGCTGCTGGCTTCAATTGAAAAGCTGTGTCAGGAGAGATTGCTGCTGGGGATTGAAGTCCTGGGTCCTTCTTTGCATGCCAACGAGGTCCAGAACCTTCCCAAGCCCACACATCTCATCTGTGTCTCTTTCTATATCAGTCTCCAGCTTTCCATCCTCTCGGGCAGCCAGTTCTTGATGGCAGTAGTACGTGCTGAACCCCACTTCCCCTCTTACAGAACTGGAGCTTTTCTGCTTGTGCTGCTGACTCCTCATGTGTCCTATTGTTTGGGCAGCTCATTTTTCATGCTCTGTCTGTTGGTTTTGGATTGCACATTTGCAGCTTCAGCACTGTGATGGAGATTGAGTTTGATATTAGAGGAGTGATTTGGAGAAGCAGCGTAGTTTGGGGGCCACACTATCAGGGCTGAAGCCTTTGTACAGTTTAGTTCCCAGTGCTATTTTGCCTTCAATAGAGTGTATTTTAAGTTCTGCTTGTTTTGGCTTAGGAGGATTGTGTTTTTCTTGACTTTGTCGTTACAAAGCCCCAGAGCCAAAAGATTCCAGAAGAGATGGACAGTACTGCCTGTGGCTAAAGCCTGTTGGATTCCTGCTCTCTTTGACAGGTTGTTGTGGCTTGTGGTCTGGCTCTGCCTGTACATCCCAGGGAAAGGAAGAAAAGGGGTGTTCAGAGGGGAAACCAGGCAAGATGTGAGCAAGAAGAAATGAGGCTGATGGGTTAGTGCCTCCAGTGAGCCTGGAGGAACGTCATGCAATGCAGTTACTTGATTCCTAGAGTTAGAAACCCAGTTTTCCATGGCTTTGTACAGGCAGGGATGAAATGGGCTTGCTTCACCCTTGTTTTGCCATTGATAACAGGGAGACAACCCCAGGGTGATTAGACTGTTGTGCTAAGCCTCTGCAGAGTTCTTAGTTGAATTTGGATGCTGCTTCTCTGCATGTTCCTATGCGTTACAGAACACTGAAAATCCTCCTTGGTAGGAAATAGTAATTTTATCTGGGGGGGTTGTGTTAGCACTGGGTCAGCTTCCAGCTTCAAAATGCTTTTCAGCAATAGCTTTTCCCTGAAGTCATTCATTAGGCCTTAGCAAGTGGTTTCACACAGTCACTGGTGTTGATTTACAGTTACCTGAAGTCTCAGCTGTAATGAAACCTGGAGTTTGATTTGGAAGAAGCTGCATTTGGGACAGTTGTCATCAAGGAAAGAAAACCCTTGGCAAAAACCCATTTAGCCGTTGTGTTCTTAATGTACCAGTGTAACTTGGTTAACTAGTTCTTGGTTAACCACCTTTGTGTTAGCTGATGCATTCAGTTCTATTAGGCGTGTAGAACTCTGTATAGGTGTTTCATTATTCCTCCTTAAACCGCTTTCCAATTCACTGCAGAACCACAGAGCTCCTCAAATCCTGTACTGAAAGAGTTAATCCTTATTTTCCAACCAGTATCTGCCTTAAAGAAGCCCCTGGCATAGACATACACAGCATTCCAGTGGAGTTTTATTCTCTTTCTACCCATGAACAGGCCAAGGGGGAAATGCACTGCAGAGACCTCAATAGCTGGCTTGTCAGTTGAGTTTTCCTTGTAGTTGATATGCATTCCAGGCAGACTGCTAATGAAACTGCTTATTCCTTTGCTTTGAGAGGCTGGTGTACCTCAGGTCCTGCTGTTTGATGTGTTTGCTGCTCTTCACACAAGCAGCTACTTCTGGCAACAGCTTGTAATTTACTAATAGCCTTGATTACAGTTGCCCACTGCACAACACCCTGTGCAGCATGAATGGAGCTGCATATTAAGGGTAACGTCTAACACAGCAGCTTGTGAATGTGGGTTTTTCTCCCTTATTTTCCAGTGCATGCACACAAGTGCCATTGTATTAATGGAGTAGAAAGTGGTGGTTTCAGTCTCCCTCTCAGCAGAGTCCTGCCTCTTGGTATGGAGAGGGTCTCAGTGTGGTTGGGATGAGATGTTTTGTCTGCTGCAGGATTTGTTCTCCTCCTGCTGAAGGAATCTGCTGGATATTTTTATCCTCCAGAGGCCGCATGCTCCGGTTAAGCACAAGTATGTCAGGAATAATTATTTCCTCTCTTCAAAGGGAGCATTTTGCCTCCTCATGGATGGGGTTTTGTTCTTTCCCAGCGCAGGTAAACAGTCACCGGCCTGTTCCTTAGCAGTCTGTCACATGAATGTAGCTGCAGCAAAGGCGACGTGTAAGGAAGGTGGGAACTGATGTGCCTTCAGGTAGCTAAAAGCTGCAGCTCAAATGGGGCCTTGTGAATGCCCTGTCAGTAGGAGCATGCTCTGAGGTGAAGTGAGCAGCTCTTTCTGCACTGGTAAAGCCTGTTTGGGTTAAAAACACCTTCCTGTCTTGCTTTGTTGTGTCCTGTTTCAGGAGAGGCAATGAACCATTCCATAGCAGGGTGCTCTGCTACCTTTTCCACCTTCACTTCCAGCAATGCTTCTCGGCCGTCCTTGTTAAGGTTTACTATGGATTTACTGTGGAGGACTAAGTAGCAAGCTGCATCAATGGCAAGGAGGTAGTTATTGTGAGGGGGAAGCAAATCCTTATCTCTTTAATTTGACCTCCTGATGCATCCATCAAGTGCATCAGTCTTATTTTCTGCTGCCAGTCTTATTTCCTATGCAAACTCCTCGGGTCTTTGTGGTTGAGTTGTTGATGTGTGTGGTCTCTAAGGTGGCACTCCAGCATCTCTGGAGAAGCTGATGGGGTACCAGTGTAAGGAACCATCTCAGGACTGTTGACAACATCCTGTTTGTTGTTGTTCTCCCTCCTTCAAGTTAGGAAAAGGTAAGGAGAAATACCGTGCCTTATATTGGGGTGACTTCATGTACAGCAGGCATAATCAGCTGATGTGAAATGAGACGAGTTTAACAGCTGCTTGTTGTGGAACAGAGACCTCGAGGGGCTGCCCATCCTCACTTTGGGATGTTCCTCTTGACTTGGAAGCCCTGTAGTTTTAATTCCATGTTTCCTATTAACAGGGTCACCTTGTCCTCCACGGACTGTTACATCGTGCATGAGATCTACAACGGAGAGAACGCTCAGGACCAGTTTGAGTACGAGCTGGAGCAGGCCCTGGAAGCACAGTACAAATACATAGTGATAGAGCCCACCCGCATCGGGGACGAGACCGCGCGCTGGATCACGGTGGGGAACTGCCTGCACAAGACGGCCGTGCTGGCGGGTACCACTTGCCTCTTCACCCCTCTGGCCCTTCCAGTAGATTATTCTCACTACATCTCCCTGCCTGCTGGTGTGCTGAGCGTGGCTTGCTGCACCCTTTATGGCATCTCTTGGCAATTTGATCCCTGTTGCAAGTACCAAGTAGAGTACGATGCCTATAAACTTTCCCGCCTGCCCCTGCATACGCTCACCTCCTCCACCCCGGTGGTGCTGGTGAGGAAGGACGACCTGCACAGAAAGAGACTGCACAACACGATAGCACTCGCTGCCCTGGTGTACTGTGTAAAGAAGATCTACGAACTCTATGCTGTATGACTCCAGCAGGGAAGAGAGAAACCCACAGAGACAAAGTGTATTAAGACTCCCGCAGTAACATTTTGTTTTTCCTCTTTTTGAGAAGCAGTTGGAGACTGGGAAAGGATTTGGTTTCATAAGAGATGTTATTTTTCAGATAACACATCACTGGTGCACCGAGGTTTTTCAGTTCTTCTCAGTTACACTTAAGGTGTGGATGTGTGGTGACTTGAGAGCTGTATGTTAGGCCATGGGAGTCCAATCCAGCAGCAGCATGTCGAAAGCGAGCTATAGGAAGAGGGGGTGTGAGAGCTTCTTCTACTTCTTTATTATTATTTTTTTTTGGGGAAACATTTAAGTATCTTGTTTAATTGTATTACACAGAACCAGCCAGAAGTTATCATTGACCATTAAAGGATGAGAATTTCAACTGCTTTTTGCTCTCTCGTTACTGGTATCGTAGTTCCTTTTCCTTGCAGGGGATGGAGACTTTGCTGTGAGGATGCCAGTGGTGATTGATTATCTGTGCTCACACACAGACCTGATGCACTCCTTGGCCCTGTGGCAGTGGTGTCCATGGACACTCTCCATCTATTGAAAGAGTTGTAGTGTTGCTTTCCTTCTTGCTTGCCTAGTTGTGTTTCTTGGAAGAGGCTAACTTGGTACCCCAGTGCTTACATCCTTTTGGCAATTGCTTAAATACAGATGGTTGGGGCTAAATGGTTCCAAATCCTTTGCTGCCCTCCTCCAGCCTTTACTGCTCCAACTGTTGAGTTTCCAGCTACAACCTCATCCTGCTCAGTTCTTGTTCACGTTCTTCCTAACGTGGATCCGTCTCTCCTGTGCAGCTGAGCACTGCAGAGGTGCGAGTTGGGCTCTCACCCTTGTGCTTTGTTATGTGCTGACACTTGGGGGCTGCGCCCTGACTTTGCAATTCCACTGCTCCCGCTTGGAATGTGCGCTTCTGGAGCTGCTGCTGCAATGCATCCATGTGCTTGCATCTTGTAACTATTACTTGGAATATTAGGATCCACTCTTGTGCATTAATTCATCTTTTAGCTCAGAACTGTCAAAATCTTGTTCTTAGAATGGGAAATACTGGTTTTGTCAGTTCCTTTCAAAAGCTAGGGTCCTGCTGCCTAAAACCTCCTCCTCCCACATGGAAACCAGGCGTGGTTTGCATTTCCAAGGCCAGTTTGGCACAGCTTCAAGTGTTACAATCTGAATACAAGAGCAAAGCCCTGTAACAAAACCTGCCTGCACGCAGGCGTCCTGCTTGCTTGGAGCCTGACCTCCACTGTGAGGCACTGACCTTGGAAAGCAGTCTCATGAGGTCAAAACCCCACATTCAGTAGCCCTGTCTTTATCTTCCCTATCTGCAGCAGCAGGCACTGAGGCATCCTCCAGGCTGCAGTGAACGTTTCTGGCCATGCTTCCAGCTCGTGCTTTGCTGCTGATGTGGCTTTTGTGTCAGCAGGGCACCCGTCCCAGTGTGTGTGCTGGGCAAACTGGGTTTGCTGGGAGTCCTGACCACGTGCTTCTACCCCTGAGGCAGCCAAACCTCAGCAGGCACATGGGTGAGAGGAAACACCAGCGGCATCCAGATGTTCCTAGGTGGCAAGAGCCCTTTGCTGGTACAGTGGCTGAGTTGTCTCCCTCCAAGGTTAAAAGAAGCAGGGATCCAGCTCATCTCTATTTATAGCAACAATGTACAGTCGCCTTGGCAGAGAGGAGAGGAAGAAATGCAGCTACTTCATCTTCCTGTGGTTAGGCCAAGTCTGCTGGGCAAGCTGCCCCTTCAGGCTGACGTTTGAAGTGCTGTCTACTGGATGGATTCTAATCGAGTGGCAGAGCTGCCGTAGCTGATAACGTGCTTTACTACTGAAATCCCATTGTGCTGGCCACACCAAAGACATTCCTGCTCTTCATTTTAAGCCAGGGTAACTGTCAGGGTGAGTTCCTTTTCTTCACTAAACCCCTGTGGTCCTGCCACTTTCTTGTGTTAAGCTTTCCCTTGCCTGGAATGATGGCTATGGCAGAAGGACTGACCCTCAGCAGGCTCCTGAACTGCCTGGCTTGCAGCAAAGACTGGAGTTAAGAATGGACAAGTGTCCTGTGGTGTTTCACTGCAGGAGGGAAGGTGAAGTCAGCTCAGCTCTCACAACAGGTAGGTCTGGTTGAAGAACTCACCCTTTGCTCCATGCTGAGGTGCAGAGGATATGGATGGGGTAAGAGGCCTGTTAATGGAGCTAAAGTGCTTGGTGACATCCTGGCTGTTAGCGAATCAGTGCTGGAACCACACCAGGTGAGCTGGGGGGGTATTAAGAGGGGTTTCAGGTTGTGTTTTGGGGCACTGCATGAGGTGGGGGCTGCATTTGCTGACCCCCATTGCTGGTAGCTGTGGATTACAGCTGGGGATGAGCTTTGCAAAAGCCCCCCCATGCTTTGCTGCCCGTCCTGGCCGTTGTGGAGGGGCTCTGAAGTGGAGCATGTTACGTGCCTCTCATCACAGAGAGGGGATTTACTTCCAAAGGGGAATGTGCACACTCTTGGTAACCTCGGAGTTGGAGCTGTGCTTCAAACAGTAACTACAGTTAACTCCCCATGTGTAATCTTTCTCCTCAGGCCCTGTGTTGTAACCTTTGACACCCTGGATGATGACACAGAGAGCCCCTTGGTCCTTCTTGGGTTGCCATGACCTGGAACACCGTGAGGTGAGCAGCTGGACAGGACTGGCAGGAGGACCTGAATGTGCAAAACATGAAAGGAAAGCCCAACGAATGCTCAGAAACCTGTTGTGGAGGAGGAGAGAAGGTAAAGCTTCAACTCGTAATTTCAACCCTAGGCCTTTAGGTAACAAATCTGGAACCTCAGCCACAGATTGAATGGTAGAAGGTGTCCTAACTGAGCAGCAGTAGCGTTGTGGTCATTAGACACATCCTGGGCATCAGCTGGGATGGATTCTCAGAGATCAGTTATAAACCAGTAGTAAAGACCTCTTGAAGAAGCTCCTGCTAAGCCTGCACACCTGTATTTGAGTTCCAGTGTGACTGATCCTGTGTGTGGATTCACACTAGGCCTACTGTAAGCTAACAGATGATGGGAAGAGGGCTGGGTTGAAGTATGTTGTTCTGCACTGTGCAGGAATGGGAGAAACACGGACCTCTCCTGCTTTCCCTTCCTCTAACATTGCCTGCTGTGAGGAGCTGAAGCAGAACAAAGGATTGATTTCATAGCAGTGTAATTTATTTGTCATCAATGTGCACTCACAGGCAGGACATCCAAGGCAGGATACATAAAATGCTGGGAAGTGCATGGAGGTGGCCACCGGGGTCTGGACCTTGGTTCCCACTAACAGGCTTTAGTTAAAATACCAGTTAAAAAGGATCATTTCTGTCCTTACTGAACTACCTCTGTGCAGCCGCTCCTTTTCCTAGCAGTGCTGGCATCCCTCACATGAGAAGAAGGGAAGGGGAAGGAATGGAATATGGTATTCCCTCAGGCCACCAGGCTCCCTGAAGCCTGTGTTGTGTGATGGGTTGGTACCATTCCCCCCCAGGCTGTGATCCTCATGAGCACCTGATTGCTTTACACCAGATGAGAACTAAGGGTCTGTCTCCTATTCTGTCCACCCTATGCACCCTCTGCTTGCAGGAGACAGTGTGCTGGTCCCTGCAGACTCACACCTACTCCTGCAGGTGGACCAGTACCATCAGCTCACAGTGTTCACACACAGCAGCATGTCCTGCTGTGCTGGTTTCTATCTGTGCAGTCCTCCCCCTGCTTTAGCTCATGCTGGGGTGAACACTGTGCTGTCAGGTAGTGCAGAGTTCGGCTGAACCATGTCAGTAAGGCATGATACACACAGGTAACTGCCAAATAAAGCTTAGATTTTTACATCAGTTACTTTAAAAGTGGCACTGGGCTTGACTTTAGCTGAACACATCAGATGATGTGGCACGCTCTGTGAAGTTCCCCACTTCAAGCAGTGGGTTCTGGATTAGAGTGGAAGGAGTGGGAAGGAGACACAGCTCACTCCTCAGGAGCCATGGGGTAGGAAAAGACAAGATCTGCTTGTGTGAAGGCAGTTTTATTTGTAGCAGGCCAGTAAAGCTGAGCAAGCCTGGAGTGAGGTGAGGAAGGTGCTGTCTTCCAGCATCCCCTGCTGCGACGTGTTCCCTTGAGCTGCCTCCACTGCAGCCTCAGCTCTCCCCCTTTGTCCAAGCACCCTTCTCCAGGTGAGCTGGAGGTGCTGTGTTCCTGGCTCCATACAATGGTGAACGGCAGCATTCTGAGACAGGATTTTCCTGCAGGAGCACCTCCCGATGTCCCAGCTGAAGCGCAGGGGCTCAGCCTCTCCCTGCAGTCCCTGCTCCAGTGAGCTCAGCTCTAAGAGGCCTTTGCTTTTCTCTCCTTTCTTGCTCTCTCTGCCATTAAGCTGAAGAAGAGCCTGGGGCAGAGGTTTCGCAGGTAGACAGCCAGGGAGGGAGTCAGCCCAGCCACAAGTACTTCCTTCTTCTTCTGTCCCACTGCATTGAGCACCACCTGAGCCACCTCTGCAGCCGTCTGTCCTTCCGCGGTGTTCTTGTCCATAACTGCCAAAGGAAAGCCTCAGGTAAGCCCATGTTTGAGCACCTTTCCTGGGAATGCTCTACTGTACATGGCTGCTTGGATGGTTTTGGTTTTACACCAGCTGTGTGTGGGAGCACAGGCAGGTATGGGCTAGAAGTCAGTAGTTGCTGTCTAGGAAGGCTGAATTTTGGGGGTTGCTGTTCTTACCCTGCATCCAGAGTTGTCTTTTGGTACTTCAGGGCTAACCTGTGTCCCCACCACCTCTGGAGTAACTCAGTGAGGTGGAGATGCATTAGATACAGGGCACAGAATCATATCTCACCTCCATAGCGAGATCCGTCCGCTGTTATAGCGTTGAGAGAGAGGTTTGTCTGAATGTAGCCAGGGCTTATAACTGTCACATCGATGTCATACTGCTCCACCTCTGCTCGTAGGCAGTCAAAGAAGGCCTGGGTGGCATGCTTGGAGGCAGCATCTGAAAAACAGGGAAAGCACCATGTGATGGGAAGGAGCAGGGCTGAAGGAAGATTCACTGCCCTGAATGGGTTTGTCATTGCAGTGCCCCCACTTCTCAGCAGTTCTCCAGCTTCTAGGTTGGTTTGTGTGTACTTTGGTTTTCTTTTGGTGAATGGCAGCAGTAGGTAGTGGGGATGAGGGAGGCAGAATGTAAATACTGAAGCTGGAAACCGACTGGGGTCCTGAGCTTAACCCCACAGCCAGGCCAAAGCACTAGAGAGTGAACCCAAGCTGCCTCCTGCTCATGGTAAAGGAGACAGGAAGTTTGGCTTGGGAAGCATCTGACAGGACAGGCTGGGGCTGGGGAATGCACTGCTGGTACAGGAGAGCAGAGCTGGCACTGGCTGAGCCTACGTGTGCTGAGTACTACAGACTTGCAGAGCAGGTTCAGAGCTTGGCTGCACACAAGTCAAAACCCGGTCCCACAGGCAGACAGAAGTGTGGCCTAGGGCAGAATTCCCCCCTGTTGAATGCCTGAGCAGCTCTTGCTCACTCCCTTTCTGTGTGTACTTGGTCACTGCCACTGTGCCTGCCATCACCTGAATGTGGCTGCAGGGCTGACACCAGCAGCAGGGAGCTTAGCACAGGCTGTGATCCCTGTCTGAGGACATAGGCAGGAGCTGAGCTCCACACTCAGAGGTCCATGTGGCTCTGGTAGCTCTAGAAGCTCCTCAGAACATGCTGCTTGGCACAATCATCCCCACATTATCTGCAAGAGCAGATTACCCAGATGGTCCCCATTCTTCTGCACTCAGCATGCTCTACTGCTCTTACCATCACTGGACTTTGCCCTTTTTATGCCTATTTTCAGTGCTTTACAGATGCTTTTACATCAAATAATCTCCATTTAGCTCCTCCATCTTTTATAAGGCTTTTTCTGGTAATCTCAGCAATATTATTTCTTGTCATAACTGACGTAGCACAAAGTTTGCTGCATCAAGAGAACCGTTTAGGCTTTTGATTTGGCATTGTTTGTACTATGGCACTTTGGAACTTATCAAGACAAAAAGGTCCTGCTTTTTTACAGGACATGAACCAGGCAAACAGCAAGGATAAAATACAGTCAAATACAGAGTTATTCAGGCAGTTTACAGGGACTCTCAAGTGTTAGTAAAATAACTGACAGTGGGTAGATTTAGATATATAAGGCAGAAGCTCTTCCCTGTGAGGGTGCTGAGGCACTGGCACAGGGTGCCCAGAAAAGCTGTGGCTGCCCCATCCCTGGCAGTGCTCAAGGCCAGGTTGGACACAGGGGCTTGGAGCAAGCTGCTCTAGTGGAAGGGGTCCCTGCCCAAGGCAGGGGGTTGGAATTGGATGAGCTTTAAGGTCCCTTCCAACCCAAACCAGTCTATGAATATGAAGCTGTTTTCAGGACACTGAAAACACGTTCTCCTTCCCCATCCTTTACCAGGGACAGGGCTAAGATTCTGTATTTGAGAGTGCCCTCCTCCACAGCTGTCAGTGCTTTGTGACAACACTGAGAAGGATGCACAGCTCTGCTCTCCCTGCATGCAGCCAGCTCTACACAGAGCTAAAAGTGGAAGCAGCAGCCAAGTATTCATTCATTCTAATGCCCTAAATATGTCTTCCCATCTTCTGTGGAGGTACTTACATGCGGATCGGAAAGGAATGCTTATTTTGCCTTGAACACTGCTGATGGCCACAATGTGGCCTTGTCTCCTCTTGATCATGGAGGGGAGAAGCGCTAGCAAAAGACAGAAAAGACCCATTGAGAATGCCAGTGCTGCCACCACTGCTGTCAAGAATCAGTGCTTTCAGAGGACGCTTAAGATGCCCAAGTGAATTACAAGATCCTTGTTCAGTGCAGGGGCTGAGCAAGGGATGGTGTTTGGGATGCCTCAGACTGAAGCTGCGGTTTGGCTGGGATGTTCACCTGTGAAGTGATGCTTGTACCACAGAGGCTGACACAGTTCCTGTGATCTCCCACTGGCACCATCAGCAGGACCTGCTAGTTTCTTTTACCACTGCATTTCCTGCTGCTTGACACCCTCCAGGCAGAGCTTTGTGTACCTAAAGAAGCTTTCCAGGGAAGCTACAGCTTCACCTAGAAGCCATTCTGCCTGCTTGTGTGTTTTAGCATCACAGGCAGGCTAACCATGGCTCTCTTCATAAGACCAGAGCCAGGAGATGCTTTATACAAGATAGTATCTCTGATCAGGTACTTCCCATGCAGCCATGCCCAAGCATCTCTTTTAGAACAAGACTTTCCTCCCCTCTTATACTGTACCAAACACAAATAGAGGTTAAACTGTGCTTAGTTGTGTTGGCCTGCAGAAGGTATCAGCTAAACCCATCATCCCCCTGTAATGTGGATCACGGGTACCTTTGGTGAGGGCTATAGGACCAAAATAGTTTGTTTCCATCACTTTCTTATCCACATCCAGTCCTGTGTCCACAATTGTGCCTCGGAAACTGATGCCTGCATTGTTGATCAGGATGTCCACATGCCCCAGGTACTTCAGGATCTCTTCAGCAGCACTTAGCACAGTTTTAGTGTCCGAGAGGTCGAATACCACAGTGTGAGGTTTGTGTGTCTGTGGACAAAGAGGAGTTAGCAAAAGCCTAGTTGAGGGTGTGCTGAATGTGATGTATGTGCACGCTCACGATGGCATCTCCCAGCTCTGCAAGCACAGAAGTAGGGCCACCCAAACCTTGTGCAGCAGTTCTGTTTGGAGGGAACGCACAACAAGGAGCAGGTTGTGCTCTCATCATCCTTATAGAGCTTAGGAAAGGGGCAGGTGAGATCTCCCTCAAGTATTAAAGTGTCATATTACCTTACTACAGGAAATGCATCTGAAAATGTCAAAACCCCAACCCATGTGTCTTCTACATAGCCAGCAATACCCTTCTTAGCCACTGTCAGCAGAACTAAGCATGAGCAATAAAGGCCAACAGAAGGAAAGTCACTTCCCAGATTCAGTCTAGGACATGCAGATGCAAAGGCTCAGGGCACTGTGCACTTGCACTTCCATTCCAAGGCAAGAAGTCCTTCAGATGGCTTATTTTTGTAGGGTTTCTACAAGATCTGACTTGTCAGCCCTGTGTACTCCTAGAGCAGGATCTATCCCTAACCACAGAGTTGTATTTTTCCTATTGCTCAACAGAACAGCCCACAAGCCATTCTGTACCACCACGAGCAGCAGCTTCTCCTCCCACACTCACCTTCTTGCGGTGGTTGGTCACAGTGGAAAGCTGCTGCACCATGTCTTGGAGCTTCTCACTGTCTCTGCCACAGAGCACCAGCTTGCAGCCAGCTGCATGGAAAGCTTTGGCACATTCTTTGGAGGAAGCAAAGAAGAGAGCAAAGCAGATACTTGAATGACAAACAGCAGGTTCACATCATAGTGGGGGATAGGCTAAAAGTTCTTTTAGCTGGCAAGGGTCTAAGGTGGCTTTGTCACTCCTAATGAGGAATTACAGTGATGTGATTTACAGTGAAGGTGCAAGATGCCATTTTCTGTGGCTGAGAGACATGTGACAGCAGTGCAGCAGCTGCTGTGCTCACAGTTACAGTGCTGGTTATGCAGTGCCTGTGCTGTTCTCACATCCTCCCCCATCAGCTGGTCAGATCTGCCTGTGCCTCTTCATTTTTTACTATATACCCCTCTTAATAGGGATTACAGATCCCTTGTGTGTCATCTAACACAGCAGGGCCTGGTCTTAGGAGATTTAGGGTTTAGTGAACACCTCCAAAGGTTCTGGAAGCCCTGAAGCTAATGACTTCATCAGGGTGATCATTAGGGCAAGGCTGAAGAAGGGATGGCTTGTGCTCCTTTCAATGCATTTCCATGTTCTACCCTACCCCTCTGTGACCCAGGGAGACAAATCACTTGTGCAAGGGACGACAGTGGATGTAAAAAGGGTGTATAAGAACACACAGTAATTAGAGGTGCTCTGGTGTATTAATAACTGGGAGTGAGGGAAATAGTGGAAGATCTTGCCACTGAGTCAATAAGGGAGGAAACTTCCGTGTATGATGGTGGAAATCCATGCATCCAACACCACACTGCTGCATCTGCCCAGCCTACCACAGCTGAGATACTAGTTCTGTCTCTTCTTGATGTGAAATACAAATTGCTTTAGCACTCCTAGCTCTTTGGTTGTGACAGGCAAAGGCCCATTGCATCTCCTTTGGCTGTTCAGTTACTGAACCCCCCTATCCTTCAGGATAAACCCACATGCAAAGACAGCATCAATTTAAGCTCTATTTGTTCTATGAATGTACTCATCCTAAAGAAAGGCCTTGATAGCAGAGAGCACCTTGTCTTCTCTTCAAGAAGCTTTTAAAGCAATTCTAAAAAGCAGAATTAAAGAATGTATCCACTCAAACAAAGAATCCATTCTATTACTCACTGCTGTTAATATTGCCAAGAGTTGGAATTTAGAATAGATGGGTTTAAACTAAAACAGGGGAAGTTCAGGTTGGATATAAGGAAGAAGTTCTTTACTGTGAGGGTGTTGAGGCACTGGAATGGGTTGCCCAGGGAGGTTGTGAATGCTCCATCTCTGGCGGTGTTCAAGGCCAGGTTGGACAGAGCCTTGGCTGCCATGGTTTAGTGTGAGGTGTCCCTGCCCATGGCAGGGAGGTTGAAACTGGATGATCTTAAGGTCCTTTCCAACCCAAACCATCCTGTGGTTCTGTGATTCTGTTCACTGCTGTTCATATTGCCAAGAGCTTGAATTTAGAATGGATGGATTTGTACTGCAGGAAACAGGTACCTGCACATGAGGGCGAGAGTGGCAAGGAGGTGAAATGGGAAGTGTAGGAGAGTATCTGGAAATACAACAGAGGTGAACATAGACCACCAGTTCTGGGAAGCTTTAGAGAAACAGTTTGACTTCCTGGCTTTTCCAGGGTTTAGAGAAAAGCCCCCTGACAGTGCAGGAATAGCGTTAGTTGTTCCTGGCTTTGATGACCTCCAGTTTATACCACGTGATGAAAACTCTCTTTCAGTTTTGAGACTCTCATGCACCAAAGCTTGTGCTGGCTATAGTTCTAACTGTGCAAGGGTTGCCTCAAAATTCCAACCAATAGGAATTTCTTGCCCTTTCCAGTTCTTCCTCCAGTGCCCCTTCACAAACCTCTGCTTGTCCTGCCCTTGGGGCCTTTCTATGTGCACTTACCCTTTCCCAAGCCCGAAGTAGCCCCTGTGATCACCACCACTGCCTCCTGGAGGTACGCTCGCATCCGCATCCACTGCAGCAGGCGATAAAGGGCGAAGATCCCCACGCTGCCAAAAAGCAGTGGGATGAGGACTGTGCTTGTGAAATCCATGAGTTTTCCTTTCTGAGCCGTCTTCCTAGAGCCACAAGATGGAAGGGAACAGACTGTTTCATCAGCAGGAAAAGGAGCAGAAGCTTGAAAATCAGGTCAGTCCTTAGCTCTGATCACCAATAAACAGATCCCATACAGGGGTATCTTCCTGATTTCCTCATCCCTTCCTTTAGACTTTCCAAAGTTCACATCAGTGCCCAATTTTAAGCACTGAAACGCTCATCTGAACATCCCAGCAGGGTATTTGGAGTGGACTTCTCACAGAGCTGGCTTCAGAGATGCTGTTCCCACATTCTGCTCTCAGTTCACTCCCTTGTATTCAGAGTGTATTCAGCTCCTCTGGGCTGGGATGTGCCCCTGCATCCTTCTGCCTGTAATAAAACCTCTTGGATTTCTCTAGAACAGCCAGTGCTGCAGTATCTATATCCCAGAGAGCAGTTACTGCCTATCATCCCAGATGGGTATAAACCAATCTGGCTTCTGGAGGCTCAGAGTAAGTTTTCTCTCTAGCCTGTTATTTGCTTGCTACACTGGAATCTGTGCTTCCATCTTCAGTGTCTTTCACCACCTGTTAGCAGAGACAAGTTGTCTGATTTAAATGAACCACATGTCCATTCTAGCAGGGTAAAGCCTAAGATCATGCTCTTATGCCAACAGTAATCATGCAGTTTAATTGTGTTCTAATGCACTGAAACTAAACCTGTGAATGAAATCCAAGCTAAAGGTAGCTATAAGACCTTAAGCTCATCCTGGGACTGGATTCTGATACCAATGCATAACCCTAATCTCCTTGCTAAGCCACTGCCTTCAAGGGAGTAGTTTATGTTACAGCTTACTCCATGGATAGAGTAAGTGATACTTCTGCTGTAAAAAAAGCCACTCTCCCACTGTATCTAACCCAAAGCTCTTATGCTTGATGGCACAGTGCAGTCAGTTAAATCCCTTCCTGGGATCTATACAACTTTGGGGTCACACTTAAGGTAAAAACCAGGTGTTAGTGTATCATCTTAGTCCTGTTGTGCAGAGAAGAGCACAAGAAGGAGAAAACAAGAGGTAACTGATAATGCCAAGCCAGAATTCAGTGTCACTAAGCAGGACTGAACTTGTAGGGATCTGAGATGACGACAGAGGTGCTACATGCCATGGAACAGAGCTAATGTGGAAAATACCAGGCTCTTCCAGATTTCCATCAGGGGCTTGGGCAGAATTCCTAATGTAGCTGGTCAGTGAGCAGACCAGCTTGCTGAAACAGTAGTGAACTGTATAAAGTAAGTATTTCTGGAGGGATAGCTGGAACACAATAAAACAGCACCTAAAGATAGCTGAGCTGGCTCAAAATAAACTTGACAAGCTCTAAAAATAAGCCCCTCAAGTTAATACACAGCTCTTCTTAAGGAACTATGGAGCTCCCCATTCCTGAGCTAACCCATTGTGTAATACACTGTGCATAATGCAGCAGGACATCCAGGCCATGAGCTCCCCCAGGCAGAGGGAGGATGCTCAAAGTGGGGAATCAGGAACCCAAATGGGATTAAACTCATTCTGTTGCAAAGCAGTGCGTGAGGCCAGCACCCAGCTACTCAGAGCAGCATCTCATCCCTCTTTGTGCTGTACACAGAGTACTTTGTATTGATACACAGCAGAGTTGATTTAGCATAAGAGTGTGTAGCACCCCTAAAATACTTCCTGGGAAAGAGCTGTTTTGGCCTCTTTGGGCTGGATGAGCAGAAAGTTCTCCTTTCTGGCCTATGTTCAGTTACAGCAGCTGCCCTCTATGTTATCCCTTTCTTCCTGCTCTCAAAGGCCTCTTGACATTCAGGAGGTGAGGTGTGGGCAGGGACAGCAGGTGCTGTGCTGACACTGAGGCTCACAGGACCTTTTGGGATCAAAAATGTTCAGCTCCCACTTAGGACCTTTCAGTATTTCCAGAGTGGGAGCTGACAGATGCAGTGGAGCTTCCTTTGTGAGCCCTGGTGCACACTGAGGTATTTAAAAGATGTGGCCCTGAGCAGCTTTGCTTCTGATTTCAGTAGATAGTGGAAAGCAGATGAAAAGGTAACTAGAAAGAGGGGGCTTTTCTGACACCTTTTCTAGCTAAAGCACACTAGGAGATGGGAGAGAGTCCCATGCTTCATGCCAGCCTGGTTCTTTCCCTGTTCTTAGGCAAAAATAAAGGTTGATTATGCAAGGACTAAACTCTGCCACAGGGGCTGGTGGCTAAGAGCCCCCCCCTGCACCAAGCCTACCAACTAAAAGCTGTGTTTTGGTGCCTCATCAGCATGAACCAGTTATTCCTGAATCACATCAGTTATTATTCATGCACTTTCTATGCAAAGAAGGTCTCTCTGATCCTTTCTGATTTGAAAAACACTTTCCAAGCCTTTTATTGGTTTTCTTTCTCTCCTTCCCCCTCCCCTTTTTCTCTGTATCATAGATACAAAGTGGACAAATCACCCAGTCTCTCAGTTTGAGACTGCACCATCACCTTTGGTCAAACATTTGGGTATTCCTGCTGAAAAACACTGTTATTAATTCTTAACAGCTCATGTTTATGGCACCAGTTTATCAGGTGATGCTACTGGTTATAACTGGTTCAAAGAAAGGCCTGTAATTCTCAGTTCCCCATCCCAAAAGGCAGGATTGGAACACACAGGTGATCAGAGAGCAGAACTAAGAACACTGACAATGTACATACAGCAGTGACTGGAAACTCTTTGAGAGGCTTACCTTAAAATAAATCATATCTATCCAGTTAAAAACTCCAACTTGCATCTGAAACCAAGACCTGGATGTTATCCCATAAACCCAAGGACAACGATTTCTGAAGGATCTCAGTTAAAAAGGTCAAGAGTGCACTAAAGGCAGCAAAGATGAGACCAAGACCTAAAAGAAACTAACCCCTGATACACAACAGCTATTCTCCTTTAGCTGCAGCCACCTAAAATCACATTGTCCTTTACATGACAAATGGCAGCAACTGGGAGGCTATTTTCAGCAATCAAAAGGTGCCATTTCAGAGGTGGGGGGGGGGGGCTAAAAGGAAGGGAAAAGGATCATTTTTTCCTAAGGAAGCCCTTGTCCTGAAGCAGAGCAGCTCTAAGCTGGAATAGCCAGCGACTTTAGCCTGAAGAAAGCACAATATCCTACCTTTGAAAAGCACTCACTTGCCAGTGCCTCTGAGGTGGTGTCTCCCTCCGGGCTTTTAACAGCACAGCCCTGACTTAAATTTGGAAGTGGCAGCATTCCAAGCAAATGCGCTCTGCCCAATGCCAGCCCAGCCAAGAGCTGCCTCTAAAAACAAACCCAAGGAGTATAGAGGCTGTGACCTTTCAAATGGGTAGGGGGGGGAATTTAACCCCCAGGCTGAAGAGGGAAGTGAATTCAGAATGATACAAACCTCCCAATGATCCTCTGGTTACTTCTAGTACTAAATAATTCGTGGTGTTGAATCCAGAGCATCCCCAAAGACCAATGCTTCTCTTTTAGATGGAAGAAAATAAAGGCAGTTTGTGAAGCAGTATCAGTGCTCTATTGGTGGGATTAGTTTTGGTGTCATAGAGCACGCTCTGCCATTGGTATCATGCTACTTAAAACAGACTTTTACCTTCTTCCCTTAGGGTTCTTAAGCCTTTGAGCACAACGGAACTGAGAAGTGAGGTTCTCATACGTATCAGGGAAATGGGCATTCCCTCCAGCAGCCCAAATGCACTGAATCCCTTAGAAGTGTTTGACAGGGAGGAAAATGAGCCTTACTTATGGTTGGTATCAGCTAAACAGTTGTATTGACCCAACTGTTTTGGGAAGCAGCTGAAATCAAACTTGTAGATGTCTGAATTGGGGGGGGGGGGAAGTCACATAGCTGGCAATGCAAATTTACTGACAAGTTCTCTGATGTAAAAACCCCCAAAATGGGACGTTCAGCCTCAAAAACCTCATTCCAACCCCAATGAGATCACATTAATTCAGCTGACTGGATTACCATGGTGCACTTCTATGTTCACAGCTTTCACTCCATACTTCATAAGCAGAAAACAGCGCCAAAACCACACTGAGGTCACAAGAAACCAGTATAATTCCAAAGAAGGCCCACAGGAACTGGACAGAGCTCATTGCAACACAGCCACATCAAACACAGAGAAGGAATTCAGGAGAAGGAATACAATAACCTGGCCAGAATGGCAACTGGCATTAAGAGCACCACGCAAGTGCTACACGGTGGTAGGTCTGGTTGTAAGCAGCTGGGCTACAACGACCCAGTGTTTGAGGTTTGCTGGGGGTGGGTTAATATTGGTTATAATACTTCGAATTCACTTTTTCTAGTGTAATTTGACCATCTTGGAAGCATCACTTGAAGCATCACCTACAAAACCCATCTGAGTAACAACCCTGTTGTTATTGCTATTCAAAGGGATCCGGCTTGTGTTTTAACATACTATTTATAATATGTATATATGTATATTACATATATTATATATATATACACACACGTTTTGACATTATGCAAAACAACCTCACCTCATGCTACAGGAAGAGAGAGAAAGTACGTTTCCAGCACCCAGACCCACACGTGGATTTGAGAAATCATCTCCTCAATCTCCCTTTCACTTGTATTCAGTTACAAGCTTCATTTCCAGCCCCGCACCCGAAAATCCACCACTGCTGTTTGGGGGACAAGCAAAGGTAAGTCCTGAAGCTCTTCCCTGTGAGGGTGCTGAGGCACTGGCACAGGGTGCCCAGAGAAGCTGTGGCTGCCCCATCCCTGGCAGTGTTCAGGGTCAGCTTGGACACAGTGGCTTGGTACAAGCTGCTCTAGTGGAAGGTGTCCCTGCCCAAGGCAGGGGTTGGGCCTGGATGAGCTTTAAGGCCCCTTCCAACCCACCCCATCCCATGAGTCTCCGATCTGCCCCCTCGCAGCTCCCCGGGAGGTCACCGCCAGGCGGGCAGGCCCCGTTGCCGGTAGCGGGGCCGTGTGGGGGTGCCGCGGGCAGAGGAAGGACCCGCGGCCCGCAGAGGAGCCCAGTTCGGGGGCTGAGGGGAGGCCGCGGGGGTCCTGGGCCCTACCTGGCCGCTGCCGTCACCATGGCCACCGCCGGAAGTGGCGGCGGAGTGCGCATGCGCCAGGTGCTCCGCCAATGACAGGCGGCTCCGCCTCGGTGCCACCCGCCGGCGGTCCGTCCGCCTATGCTGTCCGGGCGGGGAACGGCGGTCCCGGCCCCAGGTTCCTTCAGCGGGATGCGGTCTCCACTCGCCGCAGCGCTGAGGCCGAGGGTCTGCACCGACAGCACGGGGCCCGGCCCTTCCTTTGGTCTTTGGGCTGGAAGGGACTTTATAAAGCTCCTCCAGCTCCAAGCAGGGGCACCTTCCCCTGGAGCAGCTTGCTCCAAGCCCCTGTGTCCAACCTGGCCTTGAGCACTGCCAGGGATGGGGCAGCCACAGCTTCTCTGGGCACCCTGTGCCAGCGCCTCAGCACCCTCACAGGGAAGAGCTTCTGCCTAAGCGCTCAGCTCAGTCTCCCCTCGGGCAGGTTCAAGCCATTCCCCTTGCCCTGTCCCTACAGGCCCTTGTCCCAAGCCCCTCTCCAGGTTTCCTGGAGCCCCTTTAGGCACTGGAGATGCTCTAAGGTCTCCCCTTCAGGAGCCTTCTGTTCTCCAGGCTGCCCCAGCCCAGCTCTCTCAGTCTGGCTCCAGAGCAGAGCTGTTCCAGCCCTCGCAGCATCACCATGGGCTCCTCTGGACTCACTCCAACAGCTCCACATCCTTCTGATGCAGGAGCTCCCAACATCTCTCTGCATGAAAGGTGAAGATGGAGAAACTCCCTGCAAGAGGACTGTGGGCAGTGCATGGCTGTGAGCAACAACAGGAGGAGCACAGGAGGCATTTTCAAAGCCATGATCAGGGGAAATCCAGCTTCTCCGTTTTCAGGTGAGTTCTGTGAGCAGTGCTATGGGAGCACCTCAACTTGTAATGAAATGTGTCCTGAATGTGCTGCATATCTTGCAGCTTTACATCTCCTCATTGAGGTAATGGTGCTGACAAGGTGCAATAGAGCGTGCCAGGCTGTAGCACAAACCTGACCAGCCCTTTGGAAACCTGAGGTTCCAGTGATCCCAAAAGCCTCAGTGGAGTCAGTGGTGTTGGGAGGTTTTGCCGTGAGGAAGGAGAGGGTGCACAGCTTCATTCCAGCGCTGGGAGCTTTTCCTCCTCTTTGTTATGGTCTGCGTGAGCCCAAGATCCATTAAGAGGGAGCTGGGAATACTTTGGCCGCAAAGGCAGTTAATCCAAGAGGTCTTTCCCTGTGGAAAGCAGTGGGATAACGGAGAGCTTTTTATGACAGTTATTTGAAAGGCATTTTAATCATCATTTTTAATGGATTCACAGCTTCAGTGTAAGTTTGCCATTTGTAGCAGATCAGTATTTCAGGCAAAAGGAGAAAATGAGCCAAGATCCTCCTAAAAACTCACATTCCAGAGGGTATGATGGGAATGCACTGCTCCGGCTTCAGGGCCAATGCTGAAATGAGAGACTCAGTAATTTTATTTGCACCAATTATATATTGACCAATAACACCCAGAAGCAGGGGGAGTTATGCCATGGAAGCTGTGGTCCATTCAGTCCTATGAAAATCAGAGCTACACAAAGCCATTTCAAACCATCTTTCCCACCAAAGCAGCAGGATGAGCTGTATCCTATGGGATTCTTCTTATAGGCTAGCAGTTGCCTGAGAGCTCCTGTGGGCATTACCTGGTACGTGCCAGCCTGTTTTATTCTAACAGGGAATAATCTGTCACCACACTGGCAGGTGATGATGGAAAGCATGTGCCTGCAGTGGTTGTACCAGGAGGGAGTCACAGAGCAAAGGGTTACACTGGGATGGCAATTAGAGAAGGGAATTCATTGAACTAGGTCTTGACTTTGGTGCTTTGACTGGGATCCTATTTTCTTAGGTTAACTTGGTGTAATTAGCAACAAATCCAGCTTAGAGTTAAACCTGCTGAGGGACACATTGCACATTGAACTCACTTGCATGGACACGGTTTTGTTCTCAGAAGCATTAGGGGGAATCTATACCTGTAATGGACTTCTGTTCTGGAGACCATGCAGGCCCAACTGGTAAATACTGGTACGGTCTTCTACAGCTATGGCTGCTTTTGTTAGCACTTAATCTCTCCCCTCTTCTTTCTCACTGTGTCAGGCCAGAACTGCAAAGGGCTGGAATCCTTTTAGCAGTTTAACACTTCCTTGACAAACATCCTGTTCCTGAAGTGCAGGAGCTCTTTTGAGGGGGAAAACCCCCTCCAAACTCACACAGTTATTTGCACTTGTGCTTGGTGACATCTGCTTTACTGCAAGCATCACTGAGTGCTCAACCACAGCCTTTTTAACCCTATTCTCTAGGGCAACAATTTTGTGCTCTAGTTCTTCCAGGCTCTTATTTATCACCTTTTCTTCAAGGAGGAGATGTAGCTTCCTTAAGAAAAGCTTTGGTTGCTTACCCTAAGAGCAGAAACCTCCCCTGGGTAACCAAAACCTTCCCCAGGGAAAGCATCCTTGAACCAGTTTGAACTGAAAGCTCCCAGTTTCACAGTGCCTTTGGCTGGAGAATGTAAATGTTCAAAGGGCTGTGGCTTGACTAAAGAATCTCTTGTCTCAAAAACACAAACTCTCCTCCCTGTTTGCATGGATTTGGTTTATAGGAGTGAATGAAAAGAGACCTGTGATAGAAAATAGATAAATAAGGGTTTCTTGGGGCTTTTTGCCTTCTTTTCCTGTGCAGCTCTTTGTGGATAATCATTTGTGTCCCTTCTAAGCAGTGGGTACAAGGAGATGATCATAATTTTTGCTCCACTTACAGTTCTGGTTTGGAACTGGGCTCTGACTCAGGGTCATCAAACTCCTCCTGCTGGACCCCTGGTCACTCCTTTGAGCTCCTCTCTTTGCTGTAGGTTCAGGTCACTGCATTCACAAGGGGTTTTGCATCACCTGAATCGGTTTGGGGGTTCCTTGAGTTAGTTTCTCTAAGGTTTGGTTCCAGTTGGTTGTAAGTAGCGCCTTCTCCAGCCCCTGCACTGCAGCATTTCCAGGCTCAGTATGACAACAGTGGAGACAGACTTAGTTGAAACCGCATTTGTGATGTCTGATTGTGCCGCAAATCCCCAGTCATTGCAGCTAACCCAAAAGCAGGGGAATAAGGAGCAATATCCTCTATATAGATGCTCAAACATATACCACAGCCATTTTAACTGCTGTGATAGGAGATAATGATGTTTTGTCACACTCAGAAATGGAGACATGGCAAAGCTGAGGTACTGTTTCCATAAAGATACTAATTGTGGTTGTTTCAATTGCTGAGGGGACAGCTTAAGCCCTGTGTATAGAAGTATCTCCTACCTGCACCATCACTGATCTCAGGATATCCAACCCTGTCCTTCCCTGCTGCCTTCCCTCAATGGTTTAGCAGGTAAGGTCTGAGGGCTGGGCCCCCAAGAGCTGTAAAGCAGCAAGAAGTCATGCAGAGAAGTGTATATCCTGCCCCTCTTCTGGTATTTGGTGGGTTAGGAAAGAGTTAAATGACAACAGAGGCTGCGCTATTGTTCAGGCATCCCTGGGTTCAGAGTGGCTGATCTCTATTCCCGGATCTGCCTCTGGCTTCCTGCATGACCTTGGACCGGTCACTTACCTTTTCTTTTCCTTAGCTCCCAGATTATAACATGGAAATCAGTCCTCTTCCTGTGCTGCCTCCTTCCTTGCGGCTTTCAGGGTGGCTGAAGATTCTCTGGTGGGAGATGATGGGAGGAGGAGAACACGTTTCCACTGCAGATATATTTACACAGGGGGTAGCAATTTTGGGGCATGTCCTTGCTCATTCAGAGCTCGGGCTGTGCACGTGGTCATATTTGGGGTTATTTTAGTAGGCAAACCTGTGGTGAAAGTCACAGTCCATTTGTCGCTGCTGCAGCAGCCCCATAGAGCAACGCCAGCTGCAGTGAGCCCTTTCCTCACTAGATGGTGCTTTTGATCAAAGGTTTGAACAACCGCAGTTCTTTTCCGCACAGAATTCCTTAATTTTCCTTCCCCTGTCTCCATTCCTTCCCCTTCTTCTTTCTGTGCTTTAACACTAAGGGGGACACTTCATGATGCTGGCTATTGAGCAAGGCTAATGGGGTGGTAACACAGGTTCCGAGCCACCCGTACCCACCAGCCAAGCTTGCCTTCTGGGCTCTGGGTTTTGAAGCGTGGATCAGTGCCGCTGGGCTGTGGCAGGGAATTGAATTCTTTCCGTGTTTTCTATTCCCATAAGGAAAAGGCTTCAAAGAGCAGGTCCCCTCCCCCTCCGTGCTGGTGAAGGGCATTTAGGGAAGCTGGGAAAAGAAAACCCAGCTCTGACAGATGCAGTTCTTTAACAAACCGCTGTTTTCCCCTACCTTAGCTGAAGATTGGTTGTTTCTTTTTAAAGGGAGTTGCTGCTTTTAGATCCATCTTTGTATTCAGGAGACAGTTACCTAGCCAAGGTCATTGCTGCTGCATGCCAGCATCCCGCAGCGAGCCAGCCTCCTCTTCCTTGAATGAGCACCGGTTTCACTGAGGTTTCCCTAAGTAAAGAATGGGATAGGTTTGAATCTGCCAGTGCAAGGTCCCAAGTCAGTGTGGGGTAAGGAAAGCCAGAACAGCCTTTTTCTTGTCTAAAGACAGCAGAGGAGATGAATGAAATCATAATCAAACATTTCCTGTGCAGACATGCACAGGGGTGGGTTCTGAGGATACCCATCCTGAGCTGGGCCTGCCGTGAGGCTTTCCTTGCCCCTCTGCCACTCATCTGCAGGGATGAGTTGTGTGTTCACATCCCTGCAGCCTTTGTGCCTTGCACGCTATAAACCTGACTCCCATTGGGAAGACTGCGAGGTTATGTCCCTTACAGCTTCCCTCCCCATGGAATTTCACCACCATTAATGAATGGGGCTGGATTGCTGCTCTGGGGCCAGTCAGCCATGCACAGATTTATAGTCTGAGGCCAGAAGAGATGATGCTGCTGCCTCTGGCACTGCACCAGTGACAGTGATTTCATGTGTGTGCTGAGAAGCCCACAAGGCCAGTGCCCTCACGTGCTGCATGTTATGGAAGCGACATCCCCACAGCAGGGACACGAGCAATGCTAAACTGGAGCGTGACACACAACTCCTCTCGGGACTGGGAGCTGACAGTGATTTCTTTGTCATTCCCCTGTTGTCACCATCCCACTGCACATACATTTGTTCATCGTTAGTAAGATATTGCTGATGACTAAATCTTGGGTCTGCATCACAAAGAAACCGTTTGAAGGAGCAGCCCAGAACGGCGGGGTTCAAACTAGGAAGAAGTGGGGACAGTGCTTTTCCTCACATCTATTAGATATGGAGAGCAAACCAGTCTCCCAATCCCTCCAGGCTGAGAGGGAATTGCATCACTGGTGTGTGTAGATACATATTCTTTTTCCCTCTGAAATATGCTTGTTTTATTGTTTTTCCCCATTGGAATTTGCCAGCGTGTCCCAAATGATGTGGCTCTGCAACTGCAAAGCAACATACCTGTGTGGGGGAGAGAATGAGTGGTTTTCGCTTTGCAATCTGGCTCTTCCCTCCTCCCTTTTCCCCACATCCCCATGTGTTATGGAGCCAGCTGCTCCCAGAATAGTTTGGGAATGAAATGTCACCGTTTGAAACTGGTGAGTCACACTCTTTTTTATGGGGGGGGGAGAGTTGAATATGAAATGTTGCGTTGTGGCAGAGCATCTCCTGGTGAGTACAGAGAGGCTTTTCAACCACAGACTCCCTCATGATGGAGTTGAGGGGTTGCAGTAAAGGCTCCTGGGTGTGCCCGTGCTGCTTTCTGCAGGAGGATCTCAACCCCCTCTCTGCAAACTCCAGTTGTCTTCCCTAACATGCCCATTGCAGCTGGATCCTTGTGTCTCCCCCGGCAGGGCTGGGTTGTATCTGTCTGGCAGCACACCTCCAGTGACTCTGGTAATTAAGTCTCCCCGCACTGCTGTGAGATGTAATTACAGTGAGACCTGACTTCAGCAACCACTCCAGGGACTGAAACATGCTTTACCAGAGCAGGGAGGAGCAGAATGGTACTCAATACACTTTTGGGATGTCGTAGGGGAAGTTTATTAAAGAAAGGGGGTTATTAATCTGTTTTCTTCTCCGTGTATCCCAATATTAGGATGATGCCTTTAGTATCCTGGGTGTTGAGAGAATCGGGGGTTGGGTTTTTTCCTTCCTACTTGAAATCTTTTGTCTCTTAACAGAGATTGCTGTGCAAATGGTGGCAATGGACTTGCAAAATGAGCTATTGTTTATTAGAAGCTGAGTAGTTGTCCCTCCCTGCCCAAATACAATTTGCAGTGAAAAGGCAACATTCAGGATTCCAGCTCTAAGGTATCACAACCATCAATTTCCATGACCCTACTTGGCAGCTCTGCTTAGTAGGTACCAAGAATCATGTATCTTGAAGTAAAGTTAAGGTTTAACAGGTTGTCGTTAAAGGTGGTAAATGCTCCATCCCTCGCAGTGTTCAAGGCCAGGTTGGATGGGGCTTGGAGCCACCTGCTCTAGTGGAAGGTGTCCCTGCCCATGGCAGGGGGTTGGGACTGGATGAGCTTAAAGTCCTTTCCAACCCTACCCATTCTATGATTCTATGGAAGTACCATAGTAGTAAACTTCTATTTCAGGTTGCACTATCCCAAGTGGTGGCCACAGAGATGTGCCACCCATTTTGCAGTCTCTGTTTCAACAGTAATGATCTCCAGCTGAAGGATGGGAAGAAGCTGGTAATGGTAATATAAATAGCCCCAGTATGGGCTGGCAGCCCTCCTCTTGAGTCCCACCTTCAGTGACATTCTGAATACATGCTGTGAGTAAAACTCCCACATTGCAAGCTAACTTGGTGGGGATTTTGCAAGCAGAAGCCCCAGGGGGGAGGGTTGATGCCATCTCTCTCTGTTTTATTTGGAAGCCTGAGCTAGCAGTGAGGTTTTATGAAGTGTGCATTTCTATCTCAAGTTTTAGATAGCGTTAACTACAAACCCACATGCTTTATTGTCACTGGGATTAACAAAAATAATCTCTGTCTGTTAGAATTTGCTGCAGAGCCTGAGATTTTGTTTAACACAAATAACCTCAGAGACAACCTTGGGAAGCCCAGGTCTAAGTGCCAATCCACATTCCTTTTTCTCTACTTATCTGCCCCTCTCTTTTCTCTGTTGTCTCATTGTTGCCCTTTTTTCTTAACTCAGTTTCTGGGATTTGGTTTGCACTGTGGGTCTGCAAAGAGCTGAACCACAACACTGCAGGAGCTGGAAGTGGTGACAGCGATGGAGGAGTGAGCCAAGGAACAAGGTAAGAAAAGAGCACTCCTCTGGGGACCTGCTGTGCCATCAAGTTGGAACTTCCAGCTACTCCAAAGCAGCAAAAAAGGATGTGAATGCCAGTGGATCATCAGTTCTGAAGCTTAATGACAGGACATTGCTTGATACAGTCTTATTAGCCTCTGTTCTAGCATAGGTGCCTGCGTGCTAAGTTTACCTCCCCATATCCCAAATGGGGATTCCCTTTAGCTTGCAGTTTCCTGCACATAACTCCCAAGATAACGCTGGGCATGATGAGCACAAATACTCCCTATGGAAAAAAAAATAGCTTCTTTTATTTAGAATGAGGTTAGTGTGATTTCAAATTGAGTATTCAAACATGAATTTACTGAGTATCCAACTCCCTGAAGTACTGAATTCAGTAAGGGTTCAAAGTTTCCAAGCAGGTGATGGTTTCTTTAATGGATTTTTTGCCTCATCACCTTCAATGGGATTTCCCAGGGTGCCAGAGACCACACATCCTCCTAGACCCTGGCAAAACTGATATATAAGGTGTGGAAGTCTTCCTAGCAGGAAGAAGCATTTCAGTTCATTCAGGCCAAGATTACTACTGATCTGTTTTGGGGGAAAAAAACATAACAAAAGTTAAAACCAAGGACAACCAAAATGACATTGGACATTCATTAGTGAAGCATTGTCAGAACACAATAGAAGAACAGACAAAAGCCAGGCCACATTCTGTGGTATTTCCTAAAGGGCTCCCTCTGGCACATGGTTATTCCCTGCCAATCCTTTTGTATTGTTTTTGATAATGAAGAGAAGCTGAACAGATGATTGTTGCATTGTCCACTAAGTGATTCATTTACATTAAATAGTGCCTCAAAAGTAGGCTTTGGGTGGACTTTTTTAGTCACTTCAGTTGTTTATTTGGATAGTTTAATTGCCATCTTTTAACTCTCCACCGTACATAATTATTTCCTGATTGCTTCAGCTAAATTACCCAGGGTGTAACTCCTCAGCGGTCCAACTAGCCCTGACTTAAGCAGCAGCATCTCTGCATTTTCAAAGATGCTCAATTCTGAATGTCCACCTCTACAACACTGCTCCTGATCTGGGAAGGTGATGAGGTTTTGCATGTCCTTGGTCCCTATCTCTGAAAGTTGGGTTGTGAAGCACAAATGTGGCTGCACAAGCCCTCACAGTTCCATTCATTTCCTCCTTAGTCTCTCAACTCTGCTGCATGTCTGCACCAAGGTTTCTGTATTAACCCAGGACTTCCATTACAATGACAGGCTTTTCATCCTCAGAAAGTTTGGTTTGGTTTGGTTTGGTTTTGCAGGATGTGACACTTGTGACAGTGTGCCTGAGGGCATACTGACACTACTGCAGTTAGAAGAACGTCAATGTTAAGAAGCTATTTACCCCCAAATCCACATCCAGACCTGCAGGTCCACTAATATGGATGTACTAATGACTGGGGGAGAATGACACACAGGTGTTTTGATGGCTGACAAATCTAAGGAAATCAGCACTCCTTTGGCCTCTCCATTTCCCCTTGTCTGAGAAGATGCATGACTTCGCCTCTGTTGAATAGCTGTAGTTACATCTCAAAAGCCCTGATTTCCTAGTTACTCTCTGTTCCCTATTGGTTGTACCACAAGGAGAGGTTCAGTGCAGGCTCTTGTTTCTGCCTGTATGAAAGAGTAGAGTCTGGAGCAAGGCAGCAAATAGTGAAGCAGAGAGGGGAAGGGAACAGTCCCAATAGTGTTGAGTTGTTCATGTAATATGGCCAAGGTTTAAATCTTCCAAGGCCAGAGCAAAGCAGTCTGACATTTTCGCAGTCCCTTCTCCTTCCACTTAGGGAGAACATTACATTTCTGTTACCCTGCTCTGTGATTAAAGCAAACCCTCCAGCCCTCTGGATCAAACTGAGTTTTAGCCTTTTTTGGGGGGTTATATGGCATCTTCATAAAGCCAGCTGAAGCTCAGCAGACACACAAATAAAACCAGCCCTCTGTGTGCATAAAACCACAAAGTCTTGCTAGGATTTCCCCCCGCCTTCCACTTTAACCCTCCAGCATTGCTCTCCTTGTATTCTTGCTCTCCCAGGAGTCCGCATCGCTCTGTGCTTAGTGGCAGGCGATGAAATCAAGCCGTGCATTAGCAGCTCTGTAATAGCTTTGCTCAGTGGAACCCAACTTCCTTCATTAATCCAGAAAATGAGACTTGTTTTCGTACATTTGAGAAGCTAATTATTTAAGTGCTGGGAATTAAGGCTCATCAGATCCTGGAGCCTGATTTTGGTTCTGCTTCCCAGGGGATGGAAGGAGATGGAGGGAAGCTGGTTTTGCACAGGTGTGTGGTATGGTACTTGCAGCAGGGAATGACGGTGTGCAGATCCTCATCTACTTTAGGCATTAAACCCCCTTTCTTTGTGCATCCCTTTTCTTCCAGACATCATCCAGTGGTTCTTGCCATCCAAACAGATCTTTTTAAGTCACCACTAATAAAATTACTTTATAGCTTTCTTATTTTTAGTGCATGAAAAGATGTGCCCCTCGTGTGGTTGACCCAGCCTGAAGATTTTGCAATAAAACAATAATGCCTTGTCTCAGCTGGGTTTTGGAGAGGCAAAGGAGCTCTCACTCATTATCCTTCTACAATCAGTTATTCTTCAGCCTTACCTTTGATCACCATATTCAGAGAGGGGTTTAGATAGAACAGCTCTACCTAACCTAGCAAGGGACCTTCCAGTGGGAAACTGAATTGGGTGAAAACCCCCCTCATCTGTAGGAAACCACAGATGAGGGCAGATCTGTTGTTCTAAACCAAGTTTTTACAACAGAATGCCTTTCAACAGTAGATGGGTGCTTTTGACATTCTTCCCAGAAAATGACAGAGAACCTCCTGCTGCTGTCTGCCAATAACTATATGCTAAAGAACAGGCATTTGGTTCTGATAGTGTCACTGGACAGATCCACTCTTAATTACAAGCAGCTTGCCAAGAACAAAGCTTTCATTTTTATTGAGATAGCCAATCTCCTGTGTTCGCTTCAGAGACTGAGGGAGCAAACATTTCTGTGTGTTCAGTTGAAGCCAGATGTTAAAGTATTGTCTGGATGTAATTGACTTGACAAATAGCAGGAGTGACATTTTAGCTCCATTTAAGTCAGTGGCAAAATTCCTGTTGAGTTCAACTGGGGCCAAGATTTGATCCTATGACAGTGCTGATGGGGAAACTTAACAAATGATCTTCACAAAAGTTAAGTGCAGGCATTTTGTTTTTCTAGGGCTCTTTTCAACCTATGGAATTCTGCGCGCTACTTTGAAGAGGGCTGCAAAAGATCACAAAGACAAGGAAGCTTATTGTCAGTAGATTTAAATGAGCTATCCAGGGGTCTGTGATTCCAAGGGAAAGCTTCAGGAGTTGATTATAAAGTTGTAAGGCAGCTCGATCCATTAAAATCCACCCATCTTTGTAATCCTTGGACTGACAAACATCCCTCTGGCAGGACCTGTGCAGCTGAACTCTTTGTCACTGAATATTGTGGATTCAAGATGCTGCTCTGTCCCCTATGCTGGGAAATCCATGTGGAAACCTCTAACATGGTACCGGATACCAATGGACTGGGCTGGAAACCAAACCTTTGCTTTAGAGAAGCTGGAGTAGCTGGGACCATACAGCCCATTCAGTTTTGTAGCAAGGTCATTCCTTTGTCCCCAGGATGCATGAGTAGGTACACAGTGTTCTCCCCAGACTGTGAGGTGTCTGAAGTGTCTCAGATGAGCTTTATTGGGAACTAAAGGCAATCAGCTTCAGGCAGAATCATGCAACAGATTCTACCTATGATATCTCCAGAGGTTTAAGCCCTGCGGTCAGCCAGGTCATACAACCCGACATGCTTTAAAGGCTTTGGGTTATTACTACTTGGATGGAACTTCATAATGCTTAGATGAGAAAAGGCTTGAGCTAGGAAAAAAAGATCACTAAGGATTTAAAAATAGAGTAATTTAAAAATGGTAACAGTGATCTATTTAGGATTTCAAGCATTTTTCCATGTAGATTTTGGTAAGCAGGGTCGTTCTGTAATTTCTTGCCATTTACATTGTGGGAGAATTTGTCTTTTTTAGAGTGCCTGAAAATACTAGGTGAAATGAGGTTCATACCTGTAGGCCTGGGTCCAGGGGAAGCCAAAAAGGAGAGAGTGCTAAAGCCCAGCATCTACCACAGAATAGCCAAGCTGTGCTTCTCTCCTACTTAGAGGCCTACTTTAGTCTGCCAGAAGCAGGATGACACTTAAGTAATACTACTTTATGGCAACATATTCGTAGAATCCCTTGCTGGTTTGGGTTGGAAGTGACCTTAAAGCTCATCCAGCTCCAACCCCTGCCACGGGCAGGGACCCCTTCCACTAGAGCAGCTTGCTCCAAGCCCTTGTGTCCAACCTGGCCTTGAACACTGCCAGGGATGGGGCAGCCACAGCTTCTCTGGGCACCCTGTGCCAGCGCCTCAGCACCCTCACAGGGAAGAGCTTCTGCCTAAGAGCTCAGCTCAGTCTCCCCTCTGGCAGGTTCAAGCCATTCCCCTTTTCCTATCTCTACAGGCCCTTGTCCAAAGCCCCTCTCCAAGTTTCTTGTAAGCCCCTTTAGGCACTGGAGCTGCTCCAAGATCTCCCTGGTGCCTTCTCTTCTCCAGGCTGAACAATGCCCAACCCAGCTTGAATTTCTTTCTCAGATCTACCAAGCAGTGCAGAATTAAGAACTTTTCAAGTTGAACAAGTCCTTCACTTTAAACCAGCAAGCAGTGCAAGCTCCTGAAGAGACACCTTCAAATCCACTTTTGGAACCAGGGTCTTCAGCATCTTGGCTCAAACTTAAGACAGCTCCACTTGTAATCCAAGTTTATGTGAGCTATCCTAACTATATCCTTGATCTTGCTCACATCTGTCATCAAAGGGAAAGGTTCATGTTTACCTGAGAACTAAATTGGACATTTTAACACATATTATATGGAAAAGTTTGCCCAAGTGATGAAGTAAGAACTGATTTATGGCTGTGCAGCAGAGTCTAGAAGTGCCACTTTGGGATGATATGGATTGAAGATGCAGTTACTTTGCTTTTCCATACGAGGAACGCTGCTTCTTCCCAGATGAGCTGTCATGTAACGTAGATGACTCTCTGGAGGAAGAGTTTGCTGCACATTTGCAGTATGTTTTAGCTACTATCAACATTTATATTCCATTGGCATTTGAGCATAAGCACTGATTAGCATAATCATCAATGCTTTAATGTGAAAAATTCCTCCAGGAGACACAGGAGGGATTGAAACTGTTCCCTTCCCCCAGAGGCAAGTCCTTTCCCAAGCTGGCTGCTGCACCAAAAGGTTTGATTCTAGAAACATTCCCAAGAGTAAATGAAACTAGAGAAAACCTCTTAATTCTTGTGTGTGTGTGGAGAAAGCAGGCCCTGATTTAACAATTATTAGGTGACAAGATGTTGTGATTATTTGCCAGCCCTGTGTTGTTTTGACTGCTGCTCTGTGCTGTTGTGTCACCTTTACTGTGTGGGCTGGAACAATCCAGGAGTGTTTTAGAGGCCAAAGTTTTATACTTCAGAGGAAAGATTCTGGTGTCTTCACAAGATAGAAGGCAAAGGGTTTCATGGCACTGCCCTCTTCTAGAGCTTGCCTCAAGCTCCCCAGGGTCAGGAGCTGGTCTCAAAATATCTCCAGAGCCACTTTTCTACATTATTTTAGAGTGGATTTTTACTCTGGTTCTAAAATGATTCACTGACAAGAACTTCAGCTTGGATTTCTGGCTTAAAGAATCTCCTCTTTATGGAGAATAAGGAAAACTTTGAGGGAACTTAAAGTTTGAAAGGTAACATTCATGTGTTGGAAACCTCTTTAGAACTGATCTTTAAACCTCTTACCTTTCTGCTTTTGGGAGGTGACTTTGGGCCTCAGCTCCCATTGACAGATGTGGTCAAGGATGGGTGTCTCGCGGGTGGGTTGATGAGGTCTCTGAGAATGCTTCTCACATCATCATCATGTCTTCAAGAAGTAGACCAGGAAACCTCTAAGGAGCAGGAATAGTTAAGTATTGTCATTGTTCTTGAAATGGCCAGAGAGAAGAATGAGTATTTTTCCAAATGAAATATTTCTTTGGGAGGGAAACAGTACCAAAAGCAGGTGTTTTCTCCAAACATCTGTGTTTATAGACTCACAGTTCTTGTTCTTTCTGCATAAGACACCACACCCTGCACTGAGTAAACCTGGGGACTTTGCAAGACAGAGTAGCATAGAAACCTGTGTGAACATTTGGGGATGTGCAGGGCACTGAACATGCGTGTTGGCTTTGGGTCTCCTGGGCTTTTTTCAGAGAGATGGACTTAAATTTAATTGGCAGAGATTCTCTCTTTTATCTTTATCTCTTGTTTTGATGTGGTAGCCATGGAGAAAAGCCTGAGATTAGTAACAATAGGTTGTTGCAGAATAAGAATAACTCCCTACTTGGATTTAGACTGTAGTAATATTGGGGATTGTGTTTAACTGGAAATACTCAGATCCCAGTGAATAAATACCAGATGCTGTTAGGACATTATTCATCCACCTTGTACTAAATGCTGGTAATCTTTAGCTTTATTCTGAGGGGTGTTTAAGTGGCTTTCACAGGGCTTTTTCTCAGAAAATCTAGGAAGAGACTGAGTGGCTTTTGGGGTGACATGGGTTTAGAAAGAGAGGTAACAGTAGGAACAAAGCCACCAGTCCTTGCTCTTCTTTGCTATGGATGAATCTATCACGGTTTAGTTTCCCTAATGAAGCCATCTGGTATATTACTTAGTTTACCTCTCCTCAGCATCCCAGCATGTTTTGCAGTGTTCCTTTATAAAACAAGTTTACATTTTAGAGCCATATACAAACCAGAGCTCTTCCACTGTATTTAAGTGGAAAGGAATCTCTGCTCTTGCTGGGATGACATTCTGGATGGCAGAGACACACCTAAGAGATAATATCACATATTGTTAAGCTGTACCAGTCAATGTGTTTTTACAACATAAAACTTGTTTCCAAATGATCACGGCTACGTTTCTAGTGGGGGAAACCAGGCATGGATGTCTAGCTCATCTCAAGGCTACAGCAAAAAGGCTGCTTGTCAGAGACCCCAGACTTGAAGACTGAATGAAAACTTGCTTTGATGCCTCTTTTGTATCTGGATGAGAAAGATCCAAGAAACCCCCTTTTCATGAATTGTAGCAGATGATGTCAGAACGCAAACGTGACTTACATCTATTTCTTCCAAGAAGATAAAAAAAGAGTCATTTAATGAGTAAATGTCAAAGATCTGTATTTTCCTGCTGTTTTTTTCATTGTTGAAGATCTGGGAGATGTGAAGATCAAGGTTATTAAAACCAGTTTATGACATTTCTTAGGTGATAAACTCTTTCAAATAAGTCTGCTGCAGGTTTGCTGTTGTCAGGGGCCGACAAGGAATCAGGAGAGGGGCTTCTGGCAAGGGCCCACAGTGATAGTTCAGAGGGGTGGCTTTAAACTGACAGAGGGGAGATTAAATCATGCACTGGTACTTAACTACTACCTTTCTTGTTGCAGTTTATCAGGGCTTGTATATAAGCCTGGTCTCTGGAAGGCTTCCTTCCTCCTTTCAGGAATGCCATCAAAATTCCCATCCTTTTCCTCTTGCTTCACTGCACTATTGTGTAACCCTATAGCACGTGAGACATACAAGAGCTATGTACAGATTCAACCATTTTACGGTATTCTCATTTCCATGTATAGGAAAAAGCTGAATTAATACCAGTCCTGGTTAACCCCTACTTCAGCTTCACCCCTGTGGAAACACCATGAGCAGAGCTGGCAGTGCACAGGGACCATATATGGTCCTCAGGGTAAACGGGAGCACTGCATAGATCTTCCTCCCAGACCCCAGTGCTCGGCGAGGCCTGGCACACCCAGGCCGGCCCCCACACAGCCGCACTGGGCTTCCTGAACCTGCCATCGGTAAGGAGGGGGAAAGACCCGCCTCTCCTCGTTTCGACCCGCAGTCCCGGCTGCCCTAACCGGAGCCCGCTGTGGTGTGGTGCGGTGCGGCGCGGAGGCCACGGGTGCCAGGCAGGGCCTCTGACAAGCGACCGGGGCACGGGAGGGGGGGAAGCGCGGCCTCGGGAGCGGGGGAGCGGCCCGGCAGCCACCGCCGCCGCCCCTCTCCCCTCAGGAAATCGCTGAGGGAGCAGAGAAAGCGCCGGGACCAGCGGATGTGACAGCACTGCGACCCCCCTCAGCCGTGACTGCCCCCTCAGCCAATCACCTCTCGTCTTGTAGCATGACTGACAACCATGCTAGCCAATCGCGCTGTGAGACTCTCCAAAGGGGCCCCGCCCCTTCTCTCCATTGGCCAGACATCCTGTCAATCGGACGAGCTCTTCCCGCCCCTTTCCGGCAGGGGGAAATGCTAGGTAGGAAGGGTGGAGGGGGGAGAAGAAAGGGAAAGCAGCCAATGAAAGGCTAGAGACGGGCACCTCAGCGGCGGAGTGACAGGCGGACGGACCAATGAGCGCGCTCCTTCCACCTCTGGCTCCCTCCCTCAAGGGTGGCGGGGCAGAGGGGGCGCACCTACCGCCCCTTCCCCGTTGGTCTGTCCCACTCCGGGCCTGGCGGGCTAGGTTGAGTTAGCGGCTCGGACCATTGCTCACGGCGGGCGGAGGGGGGTGCGGGCGAGGAGGAAGCAGACGACGAAGGAGG